GATAAAGTGCCGGGGAAGCTTGGTGGTTAATCCACTGGGGATACCAGGTTACACTCAGGTCTCGCCAGACTTACTGTTGCCAGAAGCAGTTTTTGCACAAGCATTCAGGACACTCCTTCAGACGTTCCCTTCAGAGGTGATTAAAATGGAAATGATGCGTCAGAATACGCCAGAGCTTGTTTCAGAACTTTCATCCCTCAGAATTCCTCGTGTCATCCATAATATATCAAAAAACATCATGGAGTATATACATGTCATGAATCACAGCATGTTATCAACTTGTGACTTTGTTGCTTGATTCGTTGCTTGACCGTGATCATGCAGCATGCACCACCGGCAGCTGATTGGTTTGCGCCACAGATGATGAGCACTTTACTAACAACCACACATTCAGCAGCATATCCACAACCACAACTACCAACACCAAGCACACCTTATTTGCCACCCAGCTCAGCATACCAACAGACATGGCACCACATACATCCAACACAAGCCACAGCACCGATGACACGACTAGCAGGAAGCTCGCCGTTTTCACCACATCTTGCATTCACACAAACTCAGCAACAACAACCTTTGCCATCAGCAGACATTGACATGCAACCCTCTACATTCTTTCCACCAGAGACGAACAGTACCAGAACCTCCAGCATTTCTGCAACCAACACTTCAACAAGCAGCACTTCAATGCCCAGCACCTCAACAAGCATCGCAAGCACGTTAAGCACAGCAACAAGCAGCTCCAGCACAAGCCATTCAAGCACAACCAGAACCATTACCAGCACAACGGCAAGTTCTACCTCAAGCACATCAGCCAACATCACCGGCACGGGTACTTCCAGCATTTCCTTGAACGGCACCAGCATTGCAAGCATTTCCGCAACCAGCACCTTAACAAGCAGCACAAGTACATCAATGAGCATATCAGCTCGCAGTTCCAGCACAAGCACTTCACGCCTGACCAGAACAACCACCAGCACAACGGCATGTTGTACTTCAAGCACATCAGCCAACAGCACCAGCACAGGTACCAGCTCCCACAACCAGCACCTCAAGAAGCAGCACTTCAATGTCCAGCACTTCAACAAGCAGCACAAGCATGTCAAGCACATCAACAAGCAGCTCCAGCATAAACAGGTCAAGCACAACCACTTCTCCTAAAGCTGACCGAGAAAAAAACTATTTCTCATCCCTTCTCAGGGGCTGTTCGGTATAAGGTACCCCATACGTTAAAGGAGCAACGCCCCGATGCCATGAAAAATCGACTTTGCTATGCACATCCCGATACCGATGAATCCAGCTAAAGATTGACATATATATATATATCGATAGATGAGTGGTTAGGCAGATAAACAGATAAATACATACATAGACAAATGTAAACTTGCTTCACACCCTCCGCCATCCGAGCGGGTCTGAGGTGCCTTCGCAGAGCTTGATGACGCTGAGGCAGAGGACGCCTTGAATGGCTGGCTTCCCTAGTTCATAAGCACACCGACACATTGAACACATCAGTTCTTCACAAGATCTCCGCTACTTTCCGAGGGCTTTTTGAAGTAAGGCAACCCCAAATGTTGGAGCAACGCCCCGGTGCCATGAAAACTCAAGTTTGCTTTACCAGTCCTGATACGGAATAGTTACAACCACAGAGTGACTGACGCATATATAGATAGATGGATGAGTGGATAGATAGATAGATAGATAGATGGATAGATAGATAGATACATAGATACATAGATACATAGATAGATAGATAAACGACGTGACAGTCCTTTTTGAAGCTAATGAAGGAAAGAGGAAAAAAGAACCCTGGACAGACCTACGCATTCCTTGATGTATGTATGAATGTATGTATGTATGTTTGTATGTATGTATGCATGTATGCAAGTATGCTCCCCCTGCTGTTTTTTGATATTTAAGCCCAAGATCGTCCATGAGCTGGGTTTGGCATGATGATATGGCGACATGGTGGTGTGAGTGCCAACTATGACCATCAGTTTGCATTTTTGCGAACTAAGCTTCTCGCCTTCCCTGGAAAGCTGACAGGATTACAAATGAATAGAGATGCTTGCATTCTGGTTGACCGGTTGCGAATTTCGCGAACTAACCTTCGCGTGAAAGCCAGCAACATTACGTGTAGCAATTCCCATGAAAAATGGCACGTGAGCATTCCAAAGTGCGGCCAATCCCATGCAAATTTGAAGGTGAACATGCCCAAATGAGGCCAATCCCATGCAAAATGGAAGCTGAACACGCCCACCTGTAGCAAACCCCATGCAAAATGGAAGGTGACCATGCCCAAATGTGGCAAATACCATACAAAATGGAAGGTGAACACGCCCACACGTAGGAAACCCCATCCAAAAAAGTGAACATACCCAAATGCGGCAAATACCATGCCAAATGACAAATTCAAGTCCCATGTCGCAAACACGAGGCAAACGGTACCAGCCAAGCAATCCCCCAAAAAAATCCTAAAGCTGACCGAGAAAAAACTATTTCTCATCCCTTCTCAGGGGCTGTTCGGTATAAGGTACCCCATACGTTAAAGGAGCAACGCCCCGATGCCATGAAAAATCGACTTTGCTATGCACATCCCGATACCGATGAATCCAGCTAAAGATTGACATATATATACATATATCGATAGATGAGTGGTTAGGCAGATAAACAGATAAATACATACATAGACAAATGTAAACTTGCTTCACACCCTCCGCCATCCGAGCGGGTCTGAGGTGCCTTCGCAGAGCTTGATGACGCTGAGGCAGAGGACGCCTTGAATGGCTGGCTTCCCTAGTTCAAAAGCACACCGACGCATTGAACACATCAGTTCTTCACAAGATCTCCGCTACTTTCCGAGGGCTTTTTGAAGTAAGGCAACCCCAAATGTTGGAGCAACGCCCCGGTGCCATGAAAACTCAAGTTTGCTTTACCAGTCCTGATACGGAATAGTTACAACCACAGAGTGACTGACGCATATATAGATAGATGGATGAGTGGATAGATAGATAGATGGATAGATAGATAGATAGATACATAGATACATAGATACATAGATAGATAGATAAACGACGTGACAGTCCTTTTTGAAGCTAATGAAAGAAAGAGGAAAAAAAGAACCCTGGACAGACCTACGCATTCCTTGATGTATGTATGAATGTATGTATGTATGTTTGTTGTATGTATGCATGCATGCAAGTATGTATGTATGTATGTATGTACGTATGTGTGTATAAATTTGAATGCACGTATATCTGTATGTTTTTTTGGCATACATGTAGGTATGTATACACGTGTGTATGTATGTAGTTCTATATGTATGTTTGTACGATAACATGTAGGTATGTATGTATGTGGGTGTGTATGTATGTAAGTATGTATGTATGTACGTATGTATTTGTTTATGTATGTATGTATGTATGTATGTATGCAAGTATGTATGTATGTATGCATGCATGTATGTACGTATGTATGTATGTATTTGCATATGTATGTATGTACGTACGTACGTACGTATGTATGTATGTATGCATGTATGTATGTATGAATGTATGCAAGTATGTATTTATGTCTGTATGAATGTATGTTGTTTTGCATGTATGTATGTACGTACGTACGTACGTATGTATGTAAGTATATATATATGTATGTATGTATGTATGTATGTATGTATGTATGTATGTATGTATGTATGTATGCATGTATGCATGTATGCATGTATGCATGTATGCATGTATGCATGTACGCATGTATGCATGTATGTATGTATATGTAGATGTATATATAGGTATGTATTCAAATGTAAAGTCAATTGTTTGCACAGATTCAAATGTATGCACGCATGTACGCATGTATGTACTTATCGACACATGCAAGTGCGTGCATGTCTGTACACCGGGATTGTCCTGGCTGTGTTGTTCCGTCGATGTCTCAAGAAGAATTCACCCACAAAAACCCAAGGGGAAAGAGATACACGGAGAATCTTCACAGCTCCGAGGCCTGGGAGCCGACGCGGAGTTCGAAAGCCTTCACACAGGTGGGTTGCCCTAGCGCGGCCACCGCAGATGCTATTTGATCTGCGGCGCCCCCAAGGAAGGGGTGTAATCAAGGACGCTAGGCATTTTACATTCTCCTCCAACCGTAACTTTCACCCATCCCCCTTCTGAGTCAGCACGCAATTGTGTATATTCCGGGATCTTACAGAGCGGTAACCAGACCACCAACACCCCCATTGAAGATTGAGGGGGGGCAATAGATCCAAAGATCGCTCGCTCAGTGACCAGGATTCTTCGATTACGGATTTGTGCCTGACCTGCCCACTGAAGAAACCCCCTCGGATACACTTCTCCCAGAAATTGCAATCAATTCTCGAACCCTGTTCTAATGCTAGTTGAGCCGGATGGGCCCGAGGCGTCTTCTCCGACCCAGAAGATTAGACTAAGGGAACCATTACCAGTACAACGGCACCTCTACCTCAAGTCCATCAGCCAGCAGCACCAGCACAGGTAGCAAGCGAATCTTTGCTTCGTCCAAGACAGCTGATTCATGACATCTTGATGCGGCGGCGGTGGAAGCCTTCATTTTTGGCATGCGAAGCATTACAACATCAACACGCCTGCACAAGCACAGCACACACACAGCCAACGCTGGGACGAGCCAACCAGCCCACAAGGCACAAAGCATTACGATGGTGACCTACCAAACACATAGCACCCTGACAATTACCACCTTGACACAAAGCAGCAATTTGGACTCTTGTTTCCACGCCAAAGCACAGCAACAGCACGGAGCCAGCAGTGCACACACACATGGGATTGTCCACCGAGCCAGAGATCGTCGTTGGTGCATACACTCCACCCAAGCATCAACAGCCTTTGGATCTTGGAACGTGATCCAAACTACACAGCACCCACACCCACCATGCATTCGCATGAAGATGATGAGTTGAACCATCGTTGCTCACCACCGACGTGCAGATGAGAGGCTGCTGATTAGCGTTTCACCCCGGAACAAGTAAATCTTATGTCCTGTTCATGTGATGCTGATCGCACTAGTTGAACTTTGTCTTTTGCACTTGTTCCTAATACCCCAATGTTTTGACGTCGCGTATAAACCAGTGAACGTCACACCGTGATACTGTCATAATCAACCACATCTTCTTAACATAATCTTTTCGAATCTTGTGCCCGTCCAATAGTTTGAGTACTTGAGAATATTCCATGAATATTGTGTTTTCTCCGGCAACATTATATTTGATCGAATGTTTGGTCTGTTCTGTATTACTTCCATGTTCATGATTTTTGCTGGTTTCGGAGCCTATTCAGTGTTCAGAACCGACCACACCAAAGCGAGCTCATCACATTTTGATCCATGACTTCGTGGCGCGGCGGCGACAGCTTTGATTCATGATCACACAGACATTACAAGATCAACACACCAAGCATCCGTAGGCCTACCAGTCACAATTGCAGCAAAAGCACGCCACGTCAGAACCATTACCAGCACAACGGCAAGTTCTACCTCAAGCACATCAGCCAACAGCACCGGCACGGGTACTTCCAGCATTTCCTTGACCGGCACCAGCACTGCCAGCATTTCCGCAACCAGCACCTTAACAAGCAGCACAAGTACATCAATGAGCATATCAGCTCGCAGTTCCAGCACAAGCACTTCACGCCTGACCAGAACAACCACCAGCGCAACGGCATGTTGTACTTCAAGCACATCAGCCAACAGCACCAGCACAGGTACTTCCAGCACATCTATGACCAGCGCCAGCTTCTGCAACCACCATCTCAAGAAGCAGCACTTCAATGTCCAGCATTTCAACAAGGAGCACAAGCATGTCAAGCACACCAACAAGCAGCTCCAGCATAAGCAGTTCAAGCACAACCACCAAGACACTTGTCATGACTTGCTTGAACGATGATCATAGCATACATTCCTAGCGCATGCGTTTGGCACAGCTGGACTCAACATTCACATTTCCAACACCGACCGAGCATGACATTGGAGCACCATACACACCTTCCAGCACCTCAACAAGCAGCGCAATCAAGCACAATCAGAACCATTACCAGCACAACGGCAAGTTCTACCTCAAGCACATCAGCCAACAGCACCGGGACGGGTACTTCCAGCATTTCCTTGACCGACACCTGCACTGCCAGCATTTCCGCAACCAGCACCTTAACAAGCAGAACAAGTACATCAATGAGCATATCAGCAAGCAGTTCCAGCACAAGGATTTCAAGCCTGACCAGAACAACCACCAGCACAACGGCACGTTGTACTTCAAGCACATCAGCCAACAGCACCAGCACCGGTACTTCCAGCACATCTATGACCAGCGCCAGCTTCTGCAACCACCATCTCAAGAAGCAGCACTTCAATGTCCAGCATTTCAACAAGCAGCACAAGCATGTCAAGCACATCAACAAGCAGCTCCAGCATAAGCAGTTCAAGCATAACCATCAAGACACTTGTCATGACTTGCTTGAACGATTGTCATAGCATACATGAGTTGCGTTGCACTTGGAACCAGCTGAAGTATCACCGCCGGCAACGAGGGTAGAGTTTCAACCATTTTCAGGGGCAGTTGCTTTCACTACCCAACAGTGAACCCTAATGTTTTTCCAACCATGTGTGTCACCAACATCACCCATTTGTTGTTGTAATTCCAAACAATTGACATGAAACGACTTTTTCTCCGTTAGTCAGAGTTATGTTTCACTCCGAATTTCGATTCGACACCATAGCCATGACATCTTTGGCACAATTGCCGATCAGCCCTTCATTTAATTAACTCATTATACAGACACCCACTGTATCAACATTAGCCAACTTTTCAAGGGCCACTTTCAGCACCGAGGGGTGACGTTCAAAACCATGACAAACGCGAGCACGCGATCACCAAAACACTTGCCCGAGCGGCTTATTGTGTGTGAGAAGCCTTGAAAGACAGGGTATCAATACCAACAATCACTAGCAGGGGGTAGCGGCAGATCACTTGGGACCGCTACCAAGGAAGACACCCATTTGATCTGGTGATACAGATTGGGACGCCAATCTGCGTACCTGCAACATTACAGTTTCAATTACATAGACTCGACAGTGAACCTCGTCAGCATTTTCGTCCTCATGGCGCGCGGCTAAGCCAAGAACCGCATCACCGAAGCTGTTTGCACTTTCACATCAATTATCAACATGTCATGCCGAAGATGCTCTTGTTAACTTGGACTAGCTTGAAGTCTTGAATTATACATGATAATATCATGACATTATTCATCTAATCTCATCTCATCTCATCTCATCTCATCTCATGTCTCTCCCTTCGGGTTGTTCCAAAGTGTGTGTTTGCGTTGTGTGTATAATATATATAAGTATATATATATATTATATATATTTATAAATATATTTATAAATATATATATATACATATTTAATATAATATATACATATTTAATATAATATATACATATTTAATATAATATATACATATTTAATATAATATATATATATATATTTATTTTTATTTTAATATATTTACATATATATATTAAATTATATTAATATATATATGTGTATATATATATGTGTGTATTATGTACAGCATGCTTGGAATCCCATTCATGAAGCTGGGATGACCTCAATTACCTCCCGAAAAAAAAACATGCTTTGACAATGGCACATAAGATCAATTCTCTAGGATATTTGGAGGGTTTGACCACCTAGGGATGTTGCTGTTTGTCTATTTGATGTTAGCTCGGGTTTTTGTCCACTCTGCCCCAAACTTAGGTTTGGTTTGGTTGTTTGGGATTTGGGTGGCTTCACGATTGTGACAATACCTTTTACTGGATTTACAGACGACTACCCCAAACCACTTATCAACCGTTGGTTTGCGTGCTGCTTTGGATTGATTGGTAATTTACAGTTTTTCCTCATGTTTCATAACATGTTGCTTAGGCATGTTCCCCAGTTTTTGCGGACAAGATTCAGCAGTGCCCCACGGAATGCTGAAGAACAGTGTCACACCTGGAGTCGATTCTTCTCCATGGCTGCAGAAGTGGTTTCCCACTGTTTCCCGGCGCTTTCTGACAGAGAAGACATGCATGAAAGCCAAGGAAATTTAGGGCCAAGAAATAGCACAATTCATGATGTTCATTCAATTTTCCCGGAAGTTCCCCCAAAATCCATCCCTGGTAGCGCAATTTCAGCGCAGGTGACCGAGCCGACTTGGTAGAGTCTGCCTTTCGTTTCCTCAACCGAAGTGGCTCGGGGCACCTCAGCGCAGTGGAAATGAGACCCTTTGCGGAGCTCACGGGCTCCTTGGAGCTGTTGGCGATGGCTAGGGCCTTGGACACTTGGAAATGGGGAAAACATCATCGACGTACACCATCCTGGAAAGGTGTTTCTATCTTTTTGGGGGCTCTGGAAAAGTATTGAAAAGTAAACCTGACACTTTGCTATCATGTGCTATGTATGATGGCCCGGTTGTAGATGATCAATGGACCAATGGATAATTCATGGATGCTCAATTGGATAAGTACTTGCTAATCTCGATCATGTTAAACAGCCCCTACACTAGCAAAATGAACATATCTAGTACTAAACTAAACTAGGGTTTCGGCTCAGTGGTGTTGAATATTAGGGGAAAGAGATTAATTAATTGAGGCTATTCTAGTATGATGTTACTTTCTATTATTTGTTTTTAGGGCCATTATTATCCATCGCAATTCAACCAATGGTTGGCTGGTGGTGTTTGGGTTGGTTGAGTACTCCCATCTCCCTGATCATATGAAATCCATTCTCGTTAGCCTCCCAGAGCGGAATTGATCAGATTTTATAGTCTTAGGGGCAAGACATTTTTGGAAGTGCAGCTCCGATTGGCCACCCACGGCAGAGCTGGTGCAGCTTCCAGGCTTCACCGGCACAGACCGGGAATGGCAAGAAGAGTTTGAACTGCTGCGACAGGAGTGCGTCTAAGCTGCAGATACGACAGATACGAACGGCTGCGAGGAACATTGAGGAACTCTCATGAGAATATGATAAGCATTTGATGGCATTCATAGATATTCTAAACGTTTGATTATGTTTGATTAATGTTGCTATGGAATATGTTCCTGTGCCTTCATGGGTTGAAACCACCAGCCATATACATATATATATATATATACAGTGGGTTTATGGTGAATATCACCATCGTTGGGGCATTCCCTTCACAGTCAAGTTTATCGCAAATAGAAAGGCAAATTCTCATTAATGATTTGTGGTTGAATCAATTAACACGTGTTATCGTCTAAATCATCGAGATTCGAAGTCCATGAAAATCCTGCTATCATGCAATGAATATCTATAGATAATACAGGCCAAGTAATGTTATATACCAGGTTCTTCAAAGTGACCCTTTTGAGGTAGTTAAGTGACCCTTTGGGGGGTAAGGGACCACGACTTTTTGTTGAACATAATTAATAAACAGATTCAGACTCCACGAACATCCTACATTATCATGCTCAGATTCCATGAACATCCTATATTATCATGCTCAGATTCCATGAACATCCAATACAGTATATTATCATGCTCAGATTCCACGAACATCCTATATTGCGATAATGTACAATACATAGGGTATCATAGGATTATATCAGGGGATTTGTGAAGTCATGGGGGGGGCCCAGTCGTCACCAGTCATCACGCCGAGGTCCACATGCTCGGATCGCTTTGAGCACTTTCGTGCGCTTGGTCAACGATGCTTGGTATGGTATAATAGGGATATCCATAGCCATAGGGATAAAGGGGTTAATGATGGTTTTAAATTGTTTTTTAATATATGGTAGGGATCATAATGAGATATGATATGGGATGTTAATGGGATATTTAGTCCCTTCCCCCTAATACTAAACGCCCCCCCCTCCCCTAATAATAAACACCTCAGGTAGTTTTCATTATTATTAGGGAACCCTATTAATAAATTTTAAACCTTAATAATAAAAACGATTTTTGCCGATTTCAAAATCAATTAAATTTCCTTTATGACGCAATTAAAATATTGCCAAAAATTGAATTTCGAAGCGGACCCTATTAATAATTCTTAAAACTTAATAATAAAAACGATTTTTGCCGATTTCAAAATCAATGAAATTTCTTTTATGACGCAATTAAAATATTGCCAAAAATTTGATTTCGAAGCGGACCCTATTAATAATTCTTAAAACTTAATAATAAAAACGATTTTTGCCGATTTCAAAATCAATGAAATTTCCTTTTATGACGCAATTAAACAATTGCCACAATTTGATTTCGAAGCGGACCCTATTAATAAATTTAAAACCTTAATAATAAAAACGATTTTTGCCGATTTCAAAATCAATTAAATTTCCTTTTATGACGCAATTAAAATATTGCCAAAAATTGGATTTCGAAGCGGACCCTATTAATAATTCTTAAAACTTAATAATAAAAACGATTTTTACCGATTCAAAATCAATTAAATTTCCTTATATAATGCAATTAAAATATTGCGAAAATTTGGTTTTCGAAGCGGGCCCTAATAATAAATTAAACGCCTTAATATAAAAAAAAATGCAATTTTTCGGACCCTAATAATAAACACCTCGGGGTTGATTAGTTTTTGTTATTAGGGGGCGAAACCCACAAATGGTGGCTTTATTTTTAATATGTTTTCTAAAGGGGATCAAATTAAAAGTCAAATTGGCCAATCTGAAATTTTCCAAGATTAGAGATGGACCCAAGTTTTTAGTATTTGGTGGGGTTTTAGTAATAGGGGGAAATGATTAATGTGATATTTAACTTGGATTTGATTATTGGTGTAAATTGAGGTTCGATTTAATCATAATTAGATGGTAAGACATTCATGAAATCTTTTTTTGGTGGGTAAGTAGTAATTGTTGGTTTGTTGGTCGCTAAAAATGGTAAGCTTTCCGCAGGTTTCCTCTCTGATCTATTCTGTGAAATTTTGGGTCAGGGCCCTGAAAACCATGCACCCCGACCCATAAGTAATTGAAATCCTTCCATTTTTCAGATTATTGGGAAGATTCTGAGAACGAGAATCTCAAATTTTGCGCCTTGGATGTCCTTCAAAATTGACCATTGTATCCTTTTTCGGGAGTTCCCTTTTCTTGTACAAGCCTTAGTGACATCGTTGTGGACCGGTCAGTCGCTATCTGGGGTTTGGAAAGTGGTTCTGAATGCGTGTAGTAGCTGGCAAACCTAGACATCCCACTACACAAATCATTAGAAATCAATACAAATCCCTCGCTCCAAGTTATGATATGAGGATTGCTGGCCAAAATTCGAGCCTGGTAGACCCAGGACCAGTCAGACAATGGCCGCTATGCCTCTGACGATGATCTCAAAAAATTGCTCAGCTCTTCCAGATCCCAGCCTGACGGCAGCTTGGGTCCAATGGCAGGAGGGGGATGGAGGGGGTTTGAACGTGATAAGTGGAATCATTTTTTTGGGCAAGTTGTGTAGATTTGGGGTTTCATGGTTCTGGTGTCAGGGTGCAACATCTGGTTTGTGAAAAAGCGATTACAGTACGTGATTTGGGCAGGTGATTTGGAATTTTGGTATCACTTGAGTCGAGACACTCGACAAAGATCGACCGATCAAATCGCCATGGACCTCCACACCCCTCCTTCCACATGAATGCATTCTGGGAGCTGCTACTTCCTAGTCCCATGTGTTATGTCATAGCTGTTTTCTGTCAAGTTTTATAAACAGTCTTACCTCTTTTTAGGTGTTACTCATCCTGTCATTAAAGATCATAAAAGCACAGCCAAGCAATTATGGTAACAGGGTACCTGGATTAGATATGCAGTGGCATAGCAAAATACTGTGAAACATACAGGAAAATATTTTTGGAGAAAGTGTAAGTTGGAGCTGTCCTTGCCATGTGCCAACTCTTATGAGCAAAGTCAGTTGCAACCAAAAAGTCTTTATTGCAATCAATCCTGGCAGAATTCCATTACATATGCAAAGTACATGAAGAAAATAGGTGTACGTATTGGTATGTGCTACTTATGTACCATCCATATCATAGATGCATACTGTAGTACTACCAAGAAAAATCCAAGTCCATCAATGTATATAGGAGGGCTATATACAGGAGGGCTAGGAGAGGGGAGAAGCTCGAAAAAAAAAAATCCTTGGTCACCTCTCCCCCTAAGGGAAGCCATATATATATATATACACACACTATGTTTGTTTTTCCTCCTTCCTTTTCCCTGGGAATCTTCATGACTCTCTGGACATTCTTTGGCAACCCCTGAGGAAGTCTGACAATCTGTGTGAATCTCTAGCAATACCATCACAGGTATATGAACATAAATGATCGAACATATTCGAACATGAATGATGTAGCAAAAACACTGCATTCCCAGAAACGTGGAAAAATGGGGACCTGACAGCGTCCTTTTCTGTATAATTATGTGTCAGTGTATATACATATATATTATACATATATATATGCGCGTGTTTGCTTAACAAATCTGCAAGGCAGTCCGGACGGCCGCAGCGCGCTGCTGCGCTCGGTCTTCGCTGCGCTGAACCGCAGCGGCTCGGGGCAGCTGAGCGCCGTGGAGTTGCGGCCCTTGGCGGATCGCACCGGTGACTCGGTGGACCTGGGACCCAAAAGGCGAGTTAAACATAGCCTATGGAAGATGTGGAAGACATAGTGAACCATAGAAATTTAGATGAAATACTGGATATAGATGATTTATATAGCACAGGTGGTGTATATATTGATGAAATATTATGATTTAACAAAAATTATGATTTTCCACTTCGCTATGTTAAATAACCGGAGGGCATACTGAAAGATATTCGCAAAAACCAGCCTCAAAAAGAATGCAGGGCATCTCTATTTTTTCGAAGCAGCTCCAGAAAAAGCAGATTGATCGAAGATTGGGAATGGATTTAACATGATTTAACCATCAACAGGGGATATCAAATGGAGGGTTTGTTAAGGGGATCATTTGGAGAACCAACTGGATGGGTAGTACTTCCATCTTTACCAGAACTGGGGACCAGTTCACTAATATAGTGGCCTCTAATTAGTCAACGAAGTTATGTTTGGCAATCTTGAATAATATAGGGGCTAAATTAATTGATATGGACACTAGATGCCACTAGTGACTTGGATGCCGGCGCAGTAACATATGGTAAATGGCTGGCTCGGCGCATGGCTCAGCCAACATGGGTATGGTAAGTTTGTTGTAACTTGTCCACAAAATATTGTTGGAATTTGGGTAAACCTGAGACAATTGTTGTCATACTACCGATCCGTTTTTTGGGGTCAAAATTCACCAAAAAATTGGATGCGCGATCCAAATCAGTGAATATGGTGAAGTACATTGAAGTACCATCCCATCAAATCATCATGCTTTTTGGATGGCCTCTAGGGGGCCAGGGGTTTTTGACCCGAGGCTTTCAGGGAAGCGATTCGGAGTGGCATGAGGAGTTCAACTTGCTGAGACAGGAGTGCATCACAGCTGCAGTGGAAATTTTGGATAGAGAGGAAAGTTGCGGGGAAATTTAAGAGGTCCCAGTGAAAATTGCCAGAAACCATAGGTAGATCATCTATAAATGGGCATAAATTGGCATAAATGGGCCATTTTCCGCAGCTACGTTAAATAAACAACTTCTATACCTTGCTTTTGTTCATGTTCTCAAGATGGTCGACATCAATCGTGCGAAAGGTCGGGGGCACCACCCGATGTGGGGCTGTTAGAAGAATCCATTGCTCAGGGAGCACCAAGAGCCATGACAAGCGAGACTTCACTACTCACACGGGCATGGGTTCTCTTCCTTCAACCTTGCAATGATGGTTAATAGATGTTGATACCATCAGTTTAGCTTATCCCTGCAGTCACGAAGCCAGTGGATGCCTTTATGATATGATATATCTTTGAAACATGGTGATTTTCCATTAGCAATCTTGGCTACCAGTAGTACCGCACAAGGCGGTGGCGGAAGTTTCAAAAATAGGAAACCTATAGGAGATATTGGTTGTTGTGAATCAGGGATGGCAGAGCGAATCCACTGATGGACCGAAAGGTGCTTGAGGTCTCCTCTCTTTCTCTGTCTTTCTCTGACTATCTACCCACCTACCAACCTATTTTCTATGTATCTATCTACCTATCTACCTATCTACCAATCTACCTATCTACCTATCTATCTATCTATCTGTCTGTCTGTCTGCCTGCCTGTCTGTCTGTCTGTCTATCTGTCGACCTGTCTATCTGTGGTGCAGTGTCATTCAGTGTAATGTAGTGTAGTGTAATGTAGTGTAGTGTAGTAGAGTGTAGTGTAGTGTAATGTAGTGTAGTGTAATATAGTGCGGTGTAGTGTAATTTAGTGTAGTGGAGTGTAGTTGTGTATTCGTAGTTGTAGTTGTAGTGTAGTGGAGTGTAGTGTAATTTAGTGTAGTGGTGTGTAGTGGAGTGTAGTTATGTAGTTGTGTAGCTGTAGTGTTGCGTAATGTAGTGTAGTGTAGTGTTGTGTAGTGTAGTGTAATGTAGTGTAGTGTGATTTAGTGTAGTGGAGTGTAGTGGAGTGTAGTTGTGTAGTTGTGTAGCTGTAGTGTTGCGTAATGTAGTGTAGTGCAGTGTAGCGGAGTGTAATGTAGTGTAATGTAGTGTAGTGAAGCGAAGCGACATCTGAACCTGCAAAAGTGGTCCGAAACCCCGTTTTTTTTAACATTTTGACTTCGAAATGTGCTTCGCGCCACAACGGCGTGCACTTTTTCGACATCTGAACCTCCAAAAGTGGCGCGAACATGTGGTGTTTTGTACATTTTGACTTCAAAATGTGCTTCGCGCCACAACGGCGTGCACTTTTTCGACATCTGAACTTCCAAAAGTGGTCCGACAATGGTGTGCTTTGTACATGTCGACTTCGAAATGTGCTTCGCGCCACAACGGCGTGCACTTTTTCGACATCTCAACTTCCAAAAGTGGTCCGACGCTGAGGTGTTTTGTACATTTTGACTTGGAAATGTGCTTCGCGCCACAACGGCGTGCACTTTTTCATGTCTCATCTGGCCAGCCGGCTCCGCACCCGCCGCTTTAGCGAGCCTACTTTTCGACCCTCCGGAGCCACAAATCATTGGAAAAACACAGTGTTTCGCGACTTTCCTACCTTTTCGCGCATCTGCATCTTCTTTCTTCTGACTCTTTCTCTTCTGATCTTCTCTCTTCTAATCTTTCTCTTCTCTCTGCCTTTGCCCTGCTCTGCTTTTCATCTGTCCATATTGTCGGAAGTTTGACTTCTAAACTTCCTTCGAACATAGATATTTGATATGGAAAACTCATGGGGAAACAGAAGGAAAATGATCTACAGATGGTTGGTTTTCCATATGTTAATCAACTGGAGGGTAAGCCATGTCGAAGTTTCATGCTTCTTAGATCATGCTGTAGGGAAACTATTGGTTTTCTGTATTGATGTTCGTTAATGGGCTGGAATTCCACAGCGGAGAATAATAGCATTGCTTTTGCCATATCGGGTGATTTCCATAGCTATGTTAGCTAATATAGATATTTGATATGGTCTGTGCTGAATCATGCTGAATCATCATGTTTATCATCTATGAATATGGATCTTTCCACAGCTATGTTAAATTTCCAGAGGCTATCTATGTTTCATAGAATTGGATGGGACAGTTTACAGGAAAGCCCTATATTTGATGGTAAAAACCATGGTTTCCTCTAGATTTTCCCTTAAACCAATCCAGTGAATGTTGGTTAAGCCGGCCAGTGAAACACCACAGGTTCTGGGGGAGAGATTCGATGGAACGACTTCGAGCGCCTCGTGAATGCCGCTCCGTTTAACCGGAACGGGTTGAGCCATGGGTAGATAACGTGGGATGATGATGGTCATTTCCTACATAGTACCCTCTAGTAATTTAACATAGCGATTTTATGGTGATTTTATGATGATTTTATGGTGATTGTATGATTTATCTGGGTAAATTATAACGACCTCACTGTTCTCCCTCACCCTGGAAATCATGGTTAGTAAGGGAAATCATCCCCAAATGGCCGCAAGATTCAGGTTAGTGAAATATTATAATTTACCCAGCTAGTATATGTTGATATGGTTAGTATTATCAAACATTATCAACATAAGGTAGTATATGGTAGTATATGATGCCCTCCGGCAAATTAACAGTTCGACCCTGAAAATCACCAACCCTATGTGAATTTACTGGAGGGTAATATGTTCGTATTATTATTGTTGGTAATCTTTTAGTAACGTTACGCTACAATTATGGATAATGTTACCCATGATTTGTGTAATGTGAAAACAGGCATTATGATACTTGATAATTACTATCATGCCTAGTAGGTATATGATAACCCATAATACTATATAGCTATATATATATATATGTACACCTGATAGGCGTATGATAAAGTATGATAATAGGTATTATGGGTAGTGTATGATAATATGTTAGTGATATTATCATTGTTGAATCATGTACTTTGGGCCCATGACAATTATGATTATGATCCAATATTGAGATCCCAACACTATACTACTATACTGTATCTGTCATGTATGTATTTATATATATATGTGTATGTATGTATGTATGTATGTATGTATGTATGTAATGTAATGTAATGTAATGTAATGTAATGTAATGTAATGTAATGCAATGTAATTGTATGTATGTATGTATGTATGTATGTATGTATGTATGTATGGTATGTATGGTATGTATGTTTTGTATGGTATGTATGTAATGTATGTAATGTATGTATGTTATGTATGTATGTAATGTAGTGTAATGTATGTAAATGTATGTTATGTATGTATGTATGTTATGTATGTAATGTATGTTGTATGTAATGTATGTAATGTATGTAATGTATGTTGTATGTTGTATGTAATGTATGCTAATGTATGTAATGTATTGTATGTAATGTATGTAATGTAAATGTATGTAATGATGTAATGTATGTAGTATGTAATGTATGTGTATGTAATGTATGTAATGTATGTAATGATGTAGTGTAGTATGTATTGTCTGTATGTAATGTATGTAATGTATGTAATGTATGTAATGTATGTAATGTATGTAATGTATGTAATGTATGTAATGTATGTAATGTATGTAATGTATGTAATGTATGTAATGTATGTAATGTATGTAATGTATGTAATGTATGTTATGTATGTTATGTATGTTATGTATGTTATGTATGTTATGTATGTTATGTATGTTATGTATGTTATGTATGTAGTGTATGTAGTGTATGTGTGTATGTACGTACGTACGTACGTACGCACGCACGTATGTATGTATGTATGTACAGTATGGCATTTGACGTGTTTTTAAGTCATCCATTTGTTAGCTGGGTATGAACGCTTGCACACATCACACATCACTGAGGACAAGTCAGACAATGGTTGCCATGCAACGGATGAGGAGCTGAGAGAATTGCTGGATTTTTTGAACAGGAACAGTATCCTGGATGGGCAATGGGCATGTGATTACACCCTAGGAATCTGGTAGGGAACTCAAAAAATAGTCATTTGAGTCATTTATCGCGGACATTTCCCAACCCCTGTTTAGGTGGCCAAGATGTGTCTGGGATTTTCTGGGTGCCCAGTTGTTTGAAGCCAGGCCCATGGGCCATAGCGTATGAGCCAAAGAGGTGCCCCCAATTAACCTGAGCCAATGGCGGGAGCGAAAACTGGCCAAGAAACTGGTCTTCCAAAACCATTTTGGACGGTTCCAAGTGGGCATATAGTGGACATACAGTTTGTCATACATGAGAGGCCGCTGTGTCCTCAACAACTCGGTGTTTCTTTAGAAAAGTAGAAATAAAGAGATCCCTGACAGCCATTCAACATGGTAAACCCAAGAATAAACCATCCCAGTAACCAGCCATTTCTTGATCATGTTTCTGGTATACCTAATCAGAAACCGACTGGGGCACCGTCTATTTATCCTCTTGTAATTCAATAGTGACATGAAAAATCACCATAAAACTAAACATAATATAAATATAAGTATACATATATATATAATATATAATATTCATTATTAATGGGCTATGTTCATCAATGTTTAATAGTTAATTCCTCGAATTTTTCACAAGTTATGTTCATCGAGTTTTCCGGGGCGTTACTCGGGGTGTCTTAAAATGAGGAATTTCCGAGTCACCATGGGTTTCAAGTCATTGTTTTTGATAGAGAAAATTGTCCAATGAGATCTACCCTCTGGTTATGTCAAAATAGCTATTGAAAATGACCATAGAAATAGTGGATTTTCCCATGAAAAATGGTGGATCTTTCAATAGCTATGTTAAATTACCAGAGGGTAATGACTGGATGATTATGGATGATTTGGGGGTGCCCCCATTTGAGCAAACCTCCATTTACCTTCCATTTACGATCAGTTTCCAGTGACCAAAACTCTTCAATAACTTCGCCACAGCTGAGGCGTCCCGGCTGTCGCTGTCCCAGTCTTCCGACCTCCGCCCGGACTGCAGCCTGCCTGGTGATGCTGAGCTGCTGAGTTGCGCCGACCTTTGGAGAAACTGAGGAAAGACGACGTGTTATGTGTTGTACAGTTAGGAAAATTATGGAACGTCCCCGGGTCAGGCAGCCAAAGATATAATACTAAGATATACTAACCACTTTGGTATAGTTTGGTTTAGTTATGTTGTGTTTCGGGCCCCCTGGACACCCTAGCAAGAGTTATGCGTATCGTTATGATAGTGTGTGTTTTTTTTCTCCCCCTCAGATGTCAACAAAATTGACGTGCCAGATGGTGGTATGAGGTTAGGTCCTACAACCCGGTAGGTGAACACGTTTTTTTGGGGAATGGTTGCAGCGTGCCTGACTTGAAAGGGGCTTGCAGCATTTTGCAGCAGCTGGGCATGGGCCATCATGGGCTCTTTTTTTGGCTCATGGCCCACCCATTTCAGGGGGTGTGTCTCAAAGTTGCAAGCCACAGAAGGTCTTCTGGAATCACAGTCATGTCGTGATTACTAATTTGTGCACACCCAAACTATCCTCGTCAAAGAGCCAAGCATGATTTGCGATTATTGAGATACATCCCGCTTTATGGCCAAGTGTTAGTGGCCAAGTCTTAGTAGTTCCCAGTTTTGGAAGAGGACAGGCGTTTCACACCGGGGGACAGCGACATCAGCGACATCAGCGACATTGACATTCGGCGCTCCGCAGCCCACAGACGCAGCAAAGTTCTTTTGCCCAAGCTGCATTGAAATCCGGCTGGTTTGAACATATGGCTATGGATCAATACCTATACATACCATTTTTAGGGGGATGAACATCCATTTACCAGGTATTTTGATGTTTACCGGGGGTACAAGGTTTTGACACACTGCCATATAATTTGGGATGATCACTGATCAACATGTTGGCATATGTTTGGATTGGTTGAAGCATGTTCAAACCATTGATCAGCCATGTTACGGTGTGGTTTACCAATGCTATGGTTGTTGGACACTCGTTGCTAGGGATGATCATGCCCTTTAATGTAAGGAATCCTCGGCAACCAGGTTGCCGAGTTCCTGCATGGGATGTTTTTTTGGGTACGTGCTAGTTCATATTTGTTGGACTCTTGGACATAGACCTCCCTCTAAGAGCTTGATATAATTGATTATATATATATATACACACCTACCCGTTTTTTCATGTTAATGTTATTTAGCAGTTTTCTTAGTCTTAAAAGCCAGAAAACAAGAGGCTGCCACCCCTGGTCCTTTTGTTGAACGTCACCGCAACCGGGGGAGGCTGCCACAAAGCACCGGCTTTTGCTGAGTGGCGAGGCACCTCGGTAGTAGACTGCAGGGGGTTGACCGCCTGAGCCCCCGGATTTGGATACCCTATGATACCCTCAACAGCCATGGGAAATGGCCATGTTTTAATGTTTCATTGGTAAATGATCTACAAATGGGTAATTTGGGATAATTCTCCAGGGCTACGTTAAATTACCAGAGGCTAGTTTTTTAATCGGAGAGATAGAGAGAGTTTATAAATCACAGTTTCCGGGAACATGTCCCTTGGAAACAAGTTTTATATTAATAGAGTCAAGGAAGCTTTTGATCGTTGGCCCCATTGTGGTTCAGACCAGTCTTTCTCAGCTGATGGCAATTGTAGCTATTCCACTCTATGAGGACTCAAGCTAAACGTTGCTCAACACGAACAGAACAGAGCAGATTTAAATCGATTGAAATTGATGCCATTAACTCAGGTTTCAGCCTTTAAATGTTTCCCAGTGCTGGTTCAAAGATGTTTAAGGGAAATATACAGAATTCCTTTGATGTCTAGATGGAGAAAGTGAATTTCTCCAGTTAAAAGCTGCCACCAAGGACCTGTCTGAAACCGGAGGCTGGGTGAGCAACACTGATTTTGCCATAGGTATTAGGCTGGATATTATGTGTATATATATATATGCTATGTACATTAGTTTATATTGTAGGTATGCCTATAGTAGGATGATCAATAAGAATATGGGGGTTCAGCCAATCACAAATGAACATCATGGGAGTGAGGCTGGAGGGACTTTCCTAGCCATAAACCTACCATTTGATCCATTTGGGGATGATATTTGCCACCCATTGATGGTAATCGTATTTAATCATATTGGGGGCATTTTATGGCATTTTATGGCACTTTATGGCATTTTATGGCATTGGGTTTGCCACATTAGACAGAGAAACATGCAAATCTCTTCACCACGGCTTTCGCAGCATTTTTTTTGTTTTTTTTTTGGACCGCGCACTGGCTCAGGCAATCGCCTGACCATTGACGAAGAATTCTGGCACCAAATCTTTCAGGATCTGGGATTCTGCCGATGCAGAGTGCAAAATGTGTCGGCTCAATGTAGAACAGGAAGGGGGGTGCGGGGGGGCCCATGTCTTCAGTTGGTTACTACGACCCCATATCACCCCATCTAATTCTTTGATGTACCCACGTTCCCCCTCAGGAGATCGAGTCTAGCCCGCTGGACAGCTACAATCTTCGCGTGAATGCCGTCAGCATGCAGGTGAGATATGTTGGAAAAGCGGGGTACCCCCAAATCATCATTGTTTTTGTTGGATTTTCTATTATAAACCGGTTGCAGGCTAGACAATCAAACACAAGGAAATTCAATTTTTTTGATTGCAAATTCGAGCGCAAATATCCACACAATGAGCGTGCATATCCCCAAACGAGCGCACGTATCCCCAAACTATTTCAAATATCTCCAAGCGAGCGCAACAACAAAAACAAAAAATGGCTCACTCTTAACAGGAGCATCCGGGATCACATGGGTTGAGATCTTGATTTGAGCGTTGTTTCTCTTGGTTTTTGAGTTTGAACTTTTTCTGGAACTTGTAACCCAAGAATCTCGGAGCCAAATTTGCAGTATCAATTGAAGGTCCAGGTATAGAGCGAGTTTGCCCGATATGCCAGGAGAGACAAGGATCAAGAGCTCTGAAGAACTTCAACAATCTGGTGATCCTGCCCTATTTTCAGACCTGTTTGCATGGAACGGAAACGCATCAAACTTGGGGCCCAGCTTGAGCTTGTTAGGACTGTTCGGAAATCATGTGAAATTCATCGGAGTTGTTTCGTTCAGTTGGTTTGTTTCTGATGTATACTATAATCTATGTATAGGCGATATTGTAGTGGTTGTTAATTATATCCCTATACATCCATTCGTACTAGAAAAAAGTACCCCCCCCACCTTTGTACTACTTTTCACTCAAATGACAAGAAATCAGCAATTTCATATGATTCGTATCTGTTTTAGATAGCTCGACAAGTTTCTGGAAATCGCCTACTTTTATGTGGTTTACTAGCCCATGTTGACCCTTGTGATCCCTACTGTATAGCCATTTTGGCTGGATAGTCCAACAACCCCGGGCCAGCTACTGATGGCACACCTGAATGGTGCGCCCTGAGTGTCGAGCCTGAATCTACGTGATTTTGTATGCAATTGTAGATGCACGGGATAATCGGGATAGTGTATGTCAGAGTGTTGCCGCAGCAGGTACTTGATCTGTCAGGCCTGGCGCCAAGGGTTCCCACCACTTTGGATGGCAATTGGTTTCGAGCACATGGGGTACCATCAACTTGGGGTGTGTCAAACTACGGGTTCCCCAAGCCTCTAAATCACATACGATCTAAAGTTTGGGACACCCCCCTTTGTCACATGAGCAACTCTGAACTTTATCTAGCAGCAAACTGTGGCTTGAAGGAGGTAGGTGGTAGATAGGTCCCTATTTGGAGTGGCTGGCCATGAGTGAAGGGGGCTCACCTTCTGAAGCTGAGCGCTCTAAGTGCCCAATTATCAGATCATGGCTGGATATTCCAGATGTTGCTGCTCGCGCAGCGCTTGGGAAACTCGCTGATGTGGGGAAGGATGGGCTGACCCGTGAATGTGTGTCAGCAAACGCTGACATCTTGGAGCCATTGATTCAAGAATTTGGCACCCTAGCTTCAAACAGCAGTCATCACAAGTCCTACCTGTTGTATCACGGATGTTACCTTCTGAACAGTTAACATGAACAGCATTCTTTTTTGGTCGGAACTTAGGCACCCGTCCGAGTATCAACCAGGTGATGGATGTGGTGGGTCGTTTCTTGTTTCTTTGCCGCCCTCGCGGCAGAAAGCTCCCATGCAGTAACTGGACTGCAAAAACCCGAAGATCAATGGGCAACCTTATTGATAAAAAAACAGATGCTAACTTGTATACTGTATACTTGTCAATACCGTTATAATCCGATTTCCCATCATTAGCCCATCTTACCCTAACAATGTCTGCCCAGGCAGTGCTATCAAAACGGAGGCTTGGATTCTGAGACGTTTGGTGAGTCTCTTCGGTCAGGTTACTAGGAGGCCACATGTTCCCCGTGATCCACGTTTGCGACAGCTGTTCAAGATCGTTGGCATTGATTTTGAGTCCGAGTCTGGAATCTTGGATAACATTGTGCACCCAGTTGATAACGAAATGAATTCCAGTTTGGCATTCAGGGATACTAAAACGCATATTCAAAACAAGTGAACCCTGTGTTCCATTTTTTGCATGTATATAATCAATCTTCAAATACCCCTACACCCATACCAAAAGCTAACACCCCATTGGGGAAGAATCAGGAACCAATGGAGCCTCTCAAGCTGATGCCGGCGATGAGCCCACTGATTGGGATGAGTCTGCGGAGTCAGAGCTAGAGACCGATGATGAATGTCTTCACCCGGAGAATGCCAAGGAGACAAAATGATATAACATGATATATAATATAACATAATCTGTCATTTGAAATGTTGCTGCGGGATTGAGTTACCATGTTGTATCTGGGTATTTCTCAAAATTGGGTATGCATTGAAAATTATATATATACCCCCTTTTAGATATCTTCGACCATCCCCCATTTTGACACATATCCAACTTCAAAAATCCACCATCTCTATTAATTAAGATTGTAGGAGTGCGATGGTGTTGATGGACATCGACCTGAAGGTATTCTCAAGACTTCTGCTGCTTCTGATGCAGGCCAACTAGCTGAATGTTTGTTGCAGCAATTATTACATACCCTCCCTACCTGCTTCATTAATAAAACCTAGCACCTATTTCTCCAGGGGCTTCCCTTCCCAGGTTCCGACAGGTCCTCAAGCCTTGGCACGACTTTGGTTCTTACTCCACAGCCTCGCAAGCGCAACTTGGCAGGGGCGGGGCCCCAATCAAATCCACAGGGTTCCAACATGGCTTAGCAATTGGAGCTAGTTGAATTCTTCGTATCGAGTTGACCCAATAAGTTTTTCGCATCTAAGGTAGTGAATCAGTCCCGACTGGTCCGAAGCCATGTGATCCAGTGAAGTGTGGGTGGCTTTGTGTTACCTGCAAGCGTACATGTGACAGGAAGGATGTCATGCTGTCCCACAAGTGTGTTCGTGAAGAGGGACATGTGCTTGTTGAGTCACCACTGGTGTGCAAGAAGTGCTTCCAATTGGGGTACGACTTCTCGTCTTTCAAGTCCCATCCGTGCCCCAAAGAGTTGACCTTTGATGACAAACCCACGCCAGTTGTTTCGACCACCAACTCAGCAGATGATCCAGAAATCCCAGACAAAAGGTGGGTTACTCGGGTTGACCATGAGCGCAAAACAAGGGTTCAGGCAGACATGCAGGCTGCCCAAAAGGAAATCAAACGCTTGGAGCTGTTGAAGAAGTTGCAGCTTGAGCGTCAGCAGTTGGCAAATTTGATGGCCCAAAAGCGGACAGCCACCAGTTTCTTATCTGAATGGATAGGAGTCTAAAAACACAAGTAAAGTTATCAATCTTTAAAGGTTGTTTGACTTATCTCATGTGCGATTCATGCACACAATCAACTGGCACATGGGGCTTCCATGTAAGGTCCAGAGATGTTGGACACCTTCCCTATGAGCGAGCACGAGTCATCTCAATTGGCAGCAATTGAGGCGTAGTAGTTTTTCGCTATGATTTCAATGTTTTCTAAATATTCGGAGTCACGGCATGTTACTTGTCCCGTTTGCTGATATGTACCTTTACACAAAATTGCATATCATCATATATTACTCTTTACATGCAAATATACATTCTTTTTTTCTTGTGCGCGTAGGCCATGAAAAGTTCTCCGCCAAGCCATGTGTCTGAAGAGACACCGAAGCCTCTTACCCGCACAGTCAACAAAGACAGCTTAGTAACGCAGGGTGCAGCCAAGGAGGAGCCCAAGGAGAAGTCAAGCGTAGAAGCAGCATCAACAGAACATGCAGAGACTTTGCCAGTGACCGCACCACCCGCTGGCATATCAAAGAAAGCAATGGCAAAGGCACTTGAAGCTGTGAAAACTACCCCATGCCTGTGACCTGAGGAGCAGTGCAAAGCATTAGGCAAAACTCCCAAGCCAAAGGGACGTCCCAGAAACAAGCATGCCAAAGCAAAGGCTACACCCAAGGCGAAGTCAACTACCAGGGGTAAGAAAGCAAATGCCACACCCAAGGCGAAGTCAACTGCAAAGGATAAGACTAAGACTACTCGCAAGGCAAAGACAGGAGATCGCAAAAGGAAGGCTGGCAAAACAACAGAAACAAATGGCAATGAAGGAATGGAGGAGGAATACGCATGGGATGAGGAGTACAAGTACGAGGAGGCCCAGGAGCCAATGGATTGGGAGGAGGATGACACAGGGTATGATGAGGAGAATGGCGATCACTCCCATGACACTTTGCCACCGGCATCCAAAACCAGGAAGCCACGAGGTAAGGGTAAGACTGGCAAAGCAGCCCCGAGCAGCAGCAGCAAAGCCAAGGTGCCCAAAGCGAGCAGCAGCAGCAGCAAAGCCAAGGCGCCCAAAGCGAAGGCGAAGGCATCCAGCAAGAAGGATAAGAAAGTTGCAACTCAGGAGACCACCACTGACCCTGACACTGTGGCGAAAAAAGCAAGGCTATCTAGGAAGTCGTGTGCATCCAAGAAAGCCCGTCGAGAAGCCCTGAATGCTGGCAAAACGCCAGAGGAAGCAAAAGCTGCAGCAGCAAAGGCAACTTGGTTACTTCTAGCTTGCGTTTGAATGCATGTGCGCACTGTGTTCCCATTGTGTGTTTCTTAACCTTTTCATATATGGCTGCGTGTGAATTGTACATTGTGTGCGTGTTTATCTGCCAAGCAAACCGCGCAGTGATTCAAACTATCTTAGGCATATGCCGAATGTGACTGAGAACAAGTTCTCGGACCTGATCCGTTTTGGATCTTTTGGGGTAGCTGTCGGAATACCTCAGATTCCCATTCTACATAAAGATCTTTCAGTCCTGTAGACAAGCTTCATTTTTGAGACCCAGACTATGTTGAGAACATAAGTTGCTTTGGGAAGGGGTTCTGACCACGTAGTGGTTGTTCCACGTGCAGTGGGTGGCAGCCACAGCGCTGCCCACCACATAACACGTGCGTTGGCTGAGTCGAGTGGGGGAAAGTGGGAAAGTAGCGGCTAAGCAGCCTTGATGATGCCTTGAATTCCCCACAACAATGCCCCAGAGTGTCCCAACTCTGCAGGCCTTTTGAAGTCTTAGCTTTTCGTCGACCTCGCAGGTTCATGCCTAAGCGCGCCGATGGCTGGGCAATCAGAGCTGGTCTGTCTGGTTCGCCCCCCTCATGCTGCTGGCTCGATGTTGACCTGCCTGCATGACCCTTTCTGCAGCAGTTTCATATAGTTTTGAGAAAACAATTTTGACATCCCGCAACCGCTATCAGATCAAAACTGGTGGGTTGACGCCATATCCCTTTTTCGGGGTATCATGACGGAAGTCTCTTGGGTGAAGACACTCTTAAAGGTGAAAGCACCAAAGGCGCCATTCATGAGTTTTGTCCATATGAGATGTATTCCTTAGATTTCCTTAGCCCGTTCGATTCGACCCAATCAATTATGATCTGATGACAAATGCTTGGAGGTGCTGATATCATTAGTCTGAGACTGAGAAATAAGCTTCAATAAACTTCACACACAACAGCTTGAATTTTGGTCAAAAGGAGTTGATATTGATCCAAAGAGCCCAGACCCACTGATATCGCTAGTCCCCACTTAGGTGCTCCTGTTGAGTTGGAATTCCCAGCTTGGCAATTCCTCCGAGCACTCCTACCAATTCTTCGAAATATTTGCAGGACAAGGAAGGGTGTCTGCGAAGATGCATCTTAACACCAATTAGGTTTCAGTACTACGGCCCTTCTGATGCTTATTGTTTGGTATGTTATCCAATGATTGTTCGTTGGTATATGAGGCATTCGATGGGATATAAAGTGGCCAGCTTTGACTATGACTACAGCTCGAAGCACATGGACTTTCTTGGTGCCCCCGGATTCTTGCCCCTCAGTGAATATTATAGTTAACACCCACTGCAACGTTTTAAAAATTTGGATTAGGTAGTTGAAATCTCCACTGCCCAGGCTATGCCTACACACCATCATGTACATGGCCGAGCGGTCGCTGAGTCTGTGGGCCCCGGACTGCGGGTCTTGGGGAATACCCTGCCGTGGCACGTCAATGCGTTCGCTCATTAACCCATGTGGCTTTACTGGTTTTGGCTTTGTAGCCAGAGCCAATGTGATGGTATCTCGGTTTCTAGGTATGCACTTACAGTACATCGACTATTTCACATAGTTTACATGATCTTTACACTAATTCTTTTATTCCATCAATGGGTCAACACATTTATGGATATATTTATGGATGTTGGACCAAGGATGGTATTGGCGCTATTATTGGTGGTATCTCGATGCTTGTTCTTCTTGGTAGAGCAGCCAAGTCAATCACTTCTCTGTCGACACCCTAGGGTTGACTGGTTTTTCAACCGGGTTGCATGGGATTCTCGATTGCATGTTGAAGTCATGTTTATGTCAAGAAAGCTTCCGTAAAATCTGTTTGACATAGCTATAAAACTAGTAGTGGATCTAAGTGTAAAGATTTGCCAGCTCACAGTCACAGACCAACTCAGGTGTTCAGTGTGCACTTTTGGATGCTTCACCATGGAGCGGAGTCCAGCAAGCGGAGTGTCTTTTATGGGAACCTATCCACCATGATGGGCCTTGATAAGGGAAAGTTGTCAAGGGCCGAACGGGAGAAGAAAACAACACGCAAAACCACTCGATGCTTAGCAGAACCAATTGAACACGCAATGTTGCAAGATCTGTCTTATATGTTTGATCAAATGACACGTTTTTTTCACCTGGCCAATCCTAGGAAAGTACATTGATAAATCTGGTAAAGCCAGATTTGTTGGAGACAAGGTGGAGTTGAAGAAATCTCAGAATCTTGCCTGTTTTTATCTGCATTTCCTTTTTAAACACTACTGTATATCGTCATCAGAGCATACTAAAGCCACTTGTGTTCCACCACCACCCAATCATTCCCAGCTGGGCCTCCGTCTTGCTGAGGGCATATCCTGGTGGCCTGGCAGACACTATTCACCAGCTGTACTTTGACGAGCTCAATCGCCCAGTCCGGGGTGACCTGCGGTTTGATAACACACCCTCCAAATTGAAAACCGATTTGGAACTGTTCAGGGACCTTCCTCTTGGAGACCACTGGCCCGATGCTGATCTCCTACCATGTTTTCAATACTTGTATTCCTGCAAGTACACCAGGACTGGTTTTAGAATTTTGGTTTGGGGATGTTTGGTGAATTTTCCCATCATGTCCATATGCACCAATGGCTCAAAAAAAACATACCCTGCACAAAGATGGAAAAGAAAGATATATCCATTTTATAACCATACTTTTGATCAAATATGTTGAAACTAAAGATTCAACTTCAGGGACTTGGTTCAACCTTTCTATTTCAAGCTCGGCTTGACCAACTGCCCCAGGATTCCATCCGAGTGGAAGCCTGTGATGGCAGCTTTCCACAAAGACCTGGCGTCTTGGCTCGTAGCGGGTTTGGTGTGTAGCTCACTGACTGTTTTTCTGCATGTTTTCAGAAGCAATTGTTTCGGAAATATCCTAGGTGAAAGCACACCAGTGATGCGTCCTACCTTGACGCGTCAACTTCAGCAAATTCGGAATGGTTACACGTTTCGGACGAAAATTCGTCAACTTTTCAGTTTGCGACCCTAAATACTGGCAAGTTGGGAAAATTTGGTGGCGCAACTCGAGCGCAATTTTACGCAACTCGGACGCAATTCTACGCAACTCGAGCGCAATTCTAAAAAGTAGTAGTTTCTAAAAAAAAATGTAAAGAAATTGAATTCTATACACCTTATAGCCACAAGTTGCGTAGAATTGCGACCATTATAGTGGACCAGGTATAGTATATGACCGTTTGATCGTATGGCATTGCACTAGCCCATTCATTTTGGCGATGATTTTATTTCTAGCGCAGCTATTGAAGTCTCAGTTGGGTTTTTTGCCCCCGTTCGTTAATGTCTGGAACAAATTTGGGGTCTTGCCAGACTCTGGTGGCTGGGACTGACATGCTTGGAAAACACACCGGAGCCCCGCAGTCCAGTGAGATGAACTTGGATGCCCTGATAAAGGCTGCTTATCTGATTAGTCTTTTCAAATCAAACCATGTCAGCTCACATACCATAGATTACCATAGAACTTTGGTTTGGGTCCCCATATCTTATTGAAAACTCAGGCCCAAGAAGAAAAACTTCGACAGTTGAGAGCCGAATTGGACGACTGTGACCACGCAGATTCCCCTAAGCCTGAAGTGCCTTTGGTGGAAGGCCCAACCATGGGGTTACATGATTGATTACAGTCACAATCAGGTTTACATATATTCTATTTCAATCACCTACCCCGGCTTGTCCCAGGAGCTCCGGTCATTGCACACAGCACTGGCCACTACCCAGCAGGAGTGAACCCCAGTGACAATCCCAAGAGGTCTTTGAAACGAGCTTTGAGTGTTGTATCTTCTCCAGCGAAGTCCCAGAAACTTGACACTTGGTATGATGATGCCCAAGATCCCAATTGGACCCCACCAATCGAGCCTGCGGACACCGTCTGTGAGACGCCCGCTCCAAGTGAAGCTGATGTGGAGCTGCCTGCAAGAACGGGTGGTGATATGCCACCCCCACCTCCACCTTCGGGCCCTGAAGTGAAGGATGCCCTGTACTGGAAGTTTCTTAGCCTGTGTTTGGTAATCAAATTTCAAGCATCTCACAAACCTAGACCACGACCCAAAATGATCAAAGATTCATACTTTGTTGGTTTTAAAGAGTACATCAAAATACAACCATTAGCCGTGAACCTGAGGTTACGTAGATGCTGCGTCGTGAACGGAAAGAAAGCATCTGCAGATGCCGTGAAGCTTTTCAAGTCTCGTGATGGACGTGCCTAAGATATGGTTAATGGGATGATTCTAAAGGCATCTTACCAAAGAGGGGCTTTCAAATGGTATCACTATATCTTGTATCAATGGGGGGAAATGAACGATTCTTCCCTCCAATCTCCTTTATGTTTCATGGTAGGGGTTTATCTCAACTTAAGTTGACCTTGGGACCTTCAATCTCAAACAGGGGCCTAGTTTTCGTGTACTCTGTGGCGACTCAGGTACCAAGCTGAGGGAGATGATGTTGAAGAACAACCAGGACTTCAGCGCAGTAGAGTTGGAGCTGAAGAAGTTCAAGTCAGTTACAATTGGGCAGCGCAAAGCGGGTCAATGGGTAACAAAACACCACTTGATGAATACTTTGAACTGGACGAAGAACCATGCATGCAATCATGCATTAAAAAGTGTAAAGCAAAACATGTCCATATCTTGAAGGTGCTAACTGATTTGGTTTCCCAACCGAGGAAAATGGCTGACAACGCTTTTGAATATGCCTCGAAGAACAACTTGATTAGGACCAACGAAATACATGGGGAAAGCGAGGCCAAGCTTGTTCTTGAAGATGCCTTTTCCCATGAACAACGTGAAGGGGAGGAGTCTACCAGCAAAACCAACATGTTGGCAGAGGATTCTTTTTTGCAATCTGCGGGCATGCATGTTAATGATGTGATCCAAACATATCCAAACTAAGGGGGTGGTTCTTAGCCCAATTAGGTCAACCATTTTGGCAGCTTCAATCTGAGGATCCTGATGGCCAGTTCCTTGAGAGCGACCTGCCCTCGAGCTCTCGCCTCGCCATCTTGAAGCACGGCAACGATGACGATGAGAAGCCTGATGGGGCAGGGGCGAACTTTGGCTCTTTCAAGTTGCTGGGTTGAGGTAGGTGTAAACTAAACCTCTATACTACATCTCACAAATTCAGTGGTGCATTCATTGATTTGGTCAAGTCTATCTAAATACATCCCTTTCCTTACCCTAGGTTGACCTTTCCAACCATCCAAGAGAACAGCTCGGCTATTTCGGTGTTGCCTAGCTTCATCGAAGTATGTGGACGCAAGATCGACCAGACCCAAAGTGTTCTGGACTGCTCATGGGCTAGTGTTTGTCGAATTTATGATTATGATCACACATATTTCGTACATAGGTCGTATGTTGGATGCCTACATGTTGAACAAACCCACATAATCATTTGAGAGTGTCTCCAAAGAAGGGATCCCGAAACTTTATTTTTCAGTTTTTTAAAAATAAAGTTTCGGGATCCCCTATTTGGAGATATTCCCACTTGTTTGGGAGGAGAAGTTGAAGACTGTGGGATCCAACCAAGCCAATGCGTATATGCCTCAGATCTTCTACAGGTTGCCGTGTCACTACAGTGAGTCAAAAAATCAATTGTCAGACTATTTCGTTCTGGGGCCTGGCACACTGTTTTGAATCATAAGGCATGCCAGCCAGATTCAGATCCAGCTGAATCACATGACGGATGTCTACAGCAAGCTCGAAACTTTGCAGAAGGAATGCGCCGTAAGCCGAACTGCCAGGCCTTCTGAATATCATTATATGATGTATTGCAATTCAACTATTGAAATATAATTTTAGATTGAATCAATTTGTGGACCGGGACCCTCTCCCTACAATACCCTGAAATAATTTTAGATTGAATCAATTTTTGGACCCTCTCCATACAATACCCTTCCATATATGAATATGATATATCGGTGCCCCTTGCATGGGAGGCCTGAGACACAACAGGCAATTCTACAGCTTTGCGCCAGTTGCACAAAGACTGACGTTGCCTTGAACAATTTGGTGGTGCGTGCCAGGTTGGGGTATTGCATTGTTCTGTTGAATTCTTATAATAAACCAAAATGAACAACTTACAAAGTATATATGGTGGTCTCCCGTCTCCCTCTCGCAAACTCCAGCCCAATACTTGGCCTGCAGGTCCATCAAAGCTCCAGCTGCTGCTCGCTCCTCGACATCGGCGCCTGCAGGGAAAGCCAAAGCCAAGGGAGCCCCCAAAAAAAAGAGGGCTGCAAAGTGTTAGGTAGGGATCTACAGTATAGTGGTCATATACCAGCGCCCCTTTTGGAGTGGTGCCAAGCATGTCATTTTGACATGACATGAAACTGCGTGTGAACACGCACAATCTTTTGGGAAGAGCCCAATTTCTTGCCCCCAGTGCCCCGATGGCTTGATGTATGTGGTCAAAGTTGGGGTTTGCATACGGTAGAGTCTTCTTAGAATCACTGGATGTTTGCAAGAAAGGATCGAGAGGCGAAAAGACCGTCTTTCAAACAAATGCAGCAACTACATCATTCTCATCATCGTCACTATCATCATTATCATCTTCAGATGTTTGTTGGATGACCGTGTCATATCAATGCCCTCGCAGGTGTTTCCCGAGACAATGTGGTATCCTCTCGACTGGATGAAGGCTAGGATTTTACCAAGACAGTTGTCATACAAGGTCCTTGAAACCCACCAATCCCACCACTTATATTGGGAAAGCCTGCGTGCCCAATGGCAGGAAGCGATGACGATCCTCTCCACGATGCTGACCTTGCAGAGGAGCTGATGCTGGGGATGGAAAACGGAGTGCCTTGGTTTTGGTTTCGGGCCTGGGTTGGGATATATTGGATTGGTAGAGGGGCTTCTGGTCTTAACCCAAACTTTTGAGAAGTCACCAAACTCAACACATCAACCTTTGTTGGGGCGTTTGGGTTGGGTTCCAAAGCCCTTTGGAAATGAGGCTGACACAGCTCTTCGGGTTATGAGACTAGCTACTGTGGCCAACAACAAGTTGAAAAGGAAAGGTGCCTTGGATTCTCAACAAGTCGACCCTTTGGATTTCCACAAAACGATTATATAGCATATAAGAACTATATAACATGTTTGCAGGACCCTTACCATGCAATGCTCCCCAACTTAGGTATTACGGACAGACAGTTGAGTCGAATGGCAAAATGTGGGAAGTCTAAGACTGATCCTCATACATGTTCCAATCTTCATCGTCTCCTGGCAAAGTCTGGGAAGTTGCTCGATGTCAAAATTTCTACTTTGCCTCTTTGGATTCGGTATTCTAGAAAGAGGCCCCAACAGGCCCTTGTGAAATACCCAGTCCTTCGAATGACAGATTGGGTAGACTGCATTTTCCGTCATGGTGGACACTTCTTTTTGGGTGGCCAGTCCATGGACAATGCCGAGGCGTTCGGGGGTCAGCTATACAATTTTTGGGAAAACTACCAAGTAGTTGACCCTGACTTTGCGTTTTTCCGTGAATACCCAAAAGCTGAATGGAATCGCTCAATACCGATTGCCATCCATGGTGATGAAGGGCGGGGCAAAGCGAAGAACCCTGTGATGGTTGTCACTGTTCAAATTCTTTTACCAATCAGTGGAAAGAAAACAAACATGCAAGGGTGTCTCATCTCAGACTTATCAGGTTTTATTTTTTCATTGGTAAACTATTATGTACACTGAAGGAAAGGTTACATGATCCCCAAGCCCTCCTATTGCCAGAGGCCATCGATGTGCACGCGTTTGCTCTACACGGTGCTACCTTCTCCATACACCAAGGACAGCTTCCAGCGGCTACTTCGGTTGCTGACTGACGATCTGAAGTCATTGCAGGAGCCTGGATTTACTGTTCCTCCACTGATTTTTTGTCAACAAGTTCCCATTCTTTAATTGAAAAGGAAGGGTTTGTGTGAATATTTTTTTCATAGACTTTTGTTTCTGCATCCCAGGTTGACTGGAATGGGAAGAAGCACAACTATCGACTCATATTTACTGGGTGTAAAGGTGATTGGCCTTTCCTCAGAGCAGCTTATGGTTTGAATTGTGGGTACAACTGCACTGCCAAATGTCACAGATGTGATCTGCAGGAGACTAGCCCATACTTTGGATCAAATGTTTATTATTTCGTAGATCGATGACATTCCCAACCCAACGAATCCATCCAGGACCCCGAGCAAGCTTCTCAACCACCTGTGCCGAGGAATGGTATGACGTCAAGGGTGCCATGAGATCCTTGACACCTTCAGCTACAAACCCGAACCCGTTCAAGGCTGATGAGCCCAGGAGTCCACTTCGGGATCTTTTGACTGGGGATGACACAAGATACATTCGGATTGACCCTGCCCATACGTTTGCAATCGATGGAATCGGGAAAGATTTCTTGGCCAGTACAATCGTTATGTTAGTTCGGATGTGGCATTTTGGTAGAGGAAATGCAGGGCATGCACTGCAGAATGCCTATGCTAGCTTCATGGCCTATTGCTCAGCACGTAAGAAGACGACCAGTATCCAGGATTTCAGCTTTGCCACCCTCAAACTCCCTCAGAACACGTTTCTTTCTGCATTAGGGTGTGCAATTTTGACTTGTGAAATTAATCCCCAATAGATCATATGGAATAGTGGCACGAGATCTTGTCATAACCCCAGGCCCAAAACATTTCATATTCATTAGAACCCTCAACTGGTCAAGCCAAGGCTGAAAGGTTTCCCACGTGGTTTGGGAAAAGGACATGACGCCGCTGTTCTCGGCGCCTGGCTTGCGGAGGAAGTGCAACAGATCTCGGCAGCCTCAGTCGAATTTCGGTCATGGACTGGCATACTGTGATACGCCACTGTTTTTGGATGATGGATATGTATGCATGGGATATATTGGGGTAAGATATGTTATTTTTTGGTATGTATAGTACGGGGTAATATGGGTTCCAAGGATCTATATGGGGTATTATGGGGTATGTTTAGTACGTGGGCCCTCAAAAATCTATATAGTTGGATTCCAAGGACCCGCAGTATCGGGACATCCTGGAAGTCATCAAACTTACCTGCTGTTCCAATGACCGCTTCTGGCGAACCATCTACGAGCATGGGGTATGGATTCCGTATGATGTGGGAGTTCAAATTGTACAAGATGGATGGGCTTTCACAGTTGCTTGGACATCTGCTCATACCCTTTTCTTGATTTGGGTAGTACTCCTCCCAAAAACCATTAGGTTACCACATATTTTTTTTATATGTATGATGGGGTTTGGTAAGGATGGGTATTCAACTTTGGCTTCATTGACCGCAGCAATGGGCATCCATGGATACCACACCAGACCAAAATTACACATGCAAGCCCACATCACGTTTCTTGGTGTAAATTGATGTACATGTTTTCAATTATTTGGTGGTAGCCCCTAATTACCCAGAAATTATATTAATATGGGTTCTGAATATTTTACACCTCACTCACCATGTAAGGCTCGACATGCAACACCAATTAGCCAGACCAGGCTGCAAATTCATTTTGAGTCCGTCAGCACATATGTGCTGGACGGATGAGGATATGATAGGAAGGATCTCTAGATTGTCTAGACGTTGTCATGCTCTCACCACAGCCCGTCGAACAATAGACAGGGCATTGTGCAATTACCGACGTTTGTTTAGCATCCATTTTAGTGGTAGCTATATGCAGAATGGGAACCCATAAGGCCTGAAACATTGACCTCTATCACAATATCCAATATTAAAGATATTCAAAAAATCCACCACTATCAATTGGGATCCAATAAAGTGGAGGGTTTACCTTCCCAAGAGCTTGGGTGCCCTGGCAGAGTGGAGCGTGATCACCAGGTCCGTGTGCAACAGTGTGTGGCTGGAGGGCTGGGCAGGGAGATTCGTCAACATTTTGGGGGATCGTATACTTTTAGGGAGCTCGTTATAGAAAATGACCATTTGACAAGAAATTGAATCGGGATACTTATTTCTATGCTGTTTTGATGTCTAGGTCATATTATTATTTACTTATAGATGTCATGTACAACTATGTTTACGCATGATATATGTATGTAATCGGATGTTTAAGTTTTGTATACAATATTATATACATATACGTATTATACGTATCACTGTATCCATCAAAATAAATCAGTATTACTTTTGTATGGTGAATAGTGCTTAGACTAGACACCTCGCTATTTACAAACTGCCAGGTCAAAGATGTTCTCATTCATTGGAGCGTGCAGCAGGCTGGCCTCAAAAAAAAAGATGTTTGAAGATGTATTTTCTCCGTTGGTTCTTACAAAATGACAAATATGTTGGGCTCAGGATGTAGGGTTTCTAAGAGGGTAGAGTATAGAATTATTGTGTATACATGTGTGCTCTCTAACGAGTGTGTTTTCTCAGTTCGCTAGGAAGCCAAGATAGAAGCGGGAAACCGTTACTATAGTTTCCACCCAAAAGCCATCCATGAAAAAGGTGTATCCGTTTTGGACAGCGAAGAATTACAACAAAGATCAACAACAAACTAGCTGCTTGAGGATCATATGATCTCATTTGCCAACAGTATCACCAGTATCACCAGTTTTCTTCCCCATTTGTTCCATATTTTTCCCACAGAAACATGGCACTGCTTCAATGCTGAGGTCTCCCCCAGGATCCCGAAGGCTCTCCAGTTGGAGGTGTTCGATGTGGCCAGTGGTCGAGGGGGCGATCAACTGAAGTTTGTGAAGGCCCAGCCATGCCGGGCCTTAGGAGTGGATTCCTTGTGACCTCATGTTAACATCCAGCTGATAGGGTCAGAAGGTCAACCTCTCTGAAGTTGATCAATAAATAGAAACACAAATAGTTTCAAGAGTTTTGTCGTAAAGTGGCCGCAAGTCAGCAGACAAAGTGCAGAAATATGCAGAAATACCCGCATTGCGACCTCAAGTTGTACAAAAACCCATGAATCATGGCCACTATTATGAAACCATCAATGATTTTTCTGGCCTTTAAGATTTCATCAGATTTCTGTTGCAGCAACTCTTCAGTTTTTCTTCTGTGGCGTTTTTTGTTGCTGAAAATGTGAAGAAATGGCCACAGGCTGCTGAAATGGCCCAAAGAAGGCACCGGAGGGTTTTTTCCGAAAGGTGGGACCTGGAGTGAAATTTTGGGCCTAGGGATCAACAATGATCATTCCATCAGCCATATCAATATATAGTAATTTATTGGTTATTATTATTGTTGATTGTTATTATTAGTATTATTTTGTATAATAACAATGATATAGTTGATTATATTGGTTATTATTATTACTATAGTTATTATGATTGTTATTATTGTTATTTATTAATTTATTGGTAATTATGACGATATAATTATTATTTCTGGATAGTGGGACACTGTGGAGGGCTGATGTTCACGATGTTTTTTTTTTTTTGCGTTGTTTTTTAATTATCATTTTAATATGTATTTCCGATGTTTCTTTCACAATAATATAACATCACTTATTGAAGGATTGTCCCTGAACAATCCTTTACACATACATGAGATAGTTAAGGTGAAAACAAGGTGCATCCCTTAATCTTATTTTCTCTTCATTCTTTGAAAAGTATGAACAGGCCTGTTGCAAACATCATTTTTGTTTACGTAGAATATTTTGATAATTGCACCAGCAAAAGAAAAATTCAACTTATGTTGCAAAAATCCTCTGGGAAAATACGAATGCCAATCCCAAACTCTTCAATAGAAACAACTCTGTTTGGAATTAGAAGGACACCTAAAAAGCAACCTGGAAAGCCAGGGTAGATTAGGGTTAAGCCCTACAATCAATGACCTCCCTATCACAAGGCACCATGGCAATGCATGCAGCATCTCATTCTTCTCCAATATAGAGACTCTAAACCCGTTCATTTACTGTTTATGTCATGCTAAAGGATGCTTGTACCCAACTCAACACTATAATTATAGAATATAATATGTATATGTATATATAATGGTGCAATACTAGTCTAGATTTATATGAAATACAGTAGTTTCAACCTGATCCATAGCACAAACATTCCAAGAAGGGCCAAAAGAAAAAAACAATTCGAATTCTCCTGGTATATAAGGCTTTTGCCACTTCCTTGTGGAGATTTCCGTTGCAAACTAGGAATGCAAATCGGAAAAATCTCAAAGTTTTTTTCCTTTGACCCCCCTCCCCTTTTCTCAGAGAGGTCTAGAAGGCAAAAAACCGACGTTTAGGGTTTCCAGAGGTCCAGAGGAGGAAGAGAGAAAGGAAAACAAATTATCTATACGGAAAGCTTAGTTGCAATATATTAATCCAAATTGTGACTCATATTTGTCCATTCCTCTTTACGCATTAAGCTGATACGGCTGAAAGCTAAGATTTATTAGACAGTGTAACTATGATTGACTTTGATATTCTAAGTTTGTATATTAGCATATATTAGCATATATTAGCATATATTAGCATATATTAGCATATATTAGCACAAAGAAATATAAATGAAACATAACTTTTTTTAGATTGATCTTAATGACTTAAGCCAAATAGATAAAGGTATCACAAAGATTAAAAAACAATACATTAAAAATCAGCCCTCCACAACGTCCCTTCCTGGATCATTATCATTATTATTACTATTTATTATTATTATTGTTATTATTGTTGTTATTAGTTTTTTAATGAGTACCATTATTGTTATTGTAAGTATTGTTTGTGTTGTGTATTTATTTATTAATTGTTATTATTATTGTTTTCATTATTAATGGGTTTACTGTTATTATTATAAATATTATGTTTAGACATAGTTTATCATACATTGTATTTGAATATACAGTAATTATATGGGACCAATACCTATTAATACCATTTTTAGTGCGATGAACATCCATTTACCAGCTATTTTGATGTTCACCAGGGGTACAAGGTTTTGACACACTGCCATATATATATATATATATGCACATAAATAAATATATGGGTCAAATAGGTACTGGAAAAAAAAACGCGAATTACCACTGGATCTGGGTGGATTCTTAAACATGTTGTTTTCCATCACGATTTGGGATAATGACCACATTTGTGCAATGTGGGGCCCCCAAGATAGCTAAGTTGGTTTATAACTACAATAACTAGGGTTTATGGTAGTTATAACCATAGTTAGATGGAGTTATAAACCAACTTATAACTAGGGGGCCCCACATTGTGGAGACTTGTTTGAGGGGTCAGCCAAGGCTGTCAGACATGGAATATGTTGGAATATGCCAAGGAATCTGTTGGAGATGCATGAAATCTGAAGATGCAGCGAAAGTAATAAGAGCAGCTCACCCCGGGTGCATTCAGAATTCCCAGTGGAACATCGAAAATTCACCTGATTTACTGGCGATTATATTGATTATATGACAATATGACATCGAACATTGCTGGACAATGTGCTGTTTTTAGACGATTTACCAACTATTTCCATGGCCATTTTCCATGGTCATTTTTTAGTTTGCTGGAGGTGGCGGAGATCTCACACCATTCCCAGCCCACTCCCAGGCTGTGCTATAATGCCATGGACATCTCTGAGGCCAAAGAAATCTTCCCAACATGGGATTTCATGGTGGATTTCCCCAATAAGAATGGCATCTGGATAACAACTAAAATCTTTCAAAGACTGGTCACTTACAAACACCAAAACACCGGAATACATGGAGCACAAGGGCGATGGAGAGAGAGATGGAGCATGTGGGTGAGATTACAGGCCAAGCCGGACTGTAGCCGTTGCCCCATGGAAACCAGGGCTCTTGTCCGTTTTGTCATCCGGACTTTTCCTGCATTTGTTGCTCTAAATCAATGATCATCAATCCATAGTTTTCCCTTAAGCTGGTATTTTTATGTATTTTTACGATCAAAACCTTGTTTTTTTTTTCTCATGATTTTCCATGACTTTTTCCACGGTGTAAACCAAGGGCTAAAATTCCATGGGTGAAACCCATGGCTTCTTCCAGGCCCAAGTCCTGGAAGCTCAAAAGCGCTTACGCCGGGAACGTTCAGCAGCAAAATGATGCAACAGATGGTGATTTCACAGTTGGAATCGAGATCAGGATTAGCAGCAACAATTAGAGCAGTTCACCAGCAAAAGAGTCGGAAACCGTTGACACATTACAATTGACACTTAAAATCAATAGAAAAATACAGATTGAATGAGGACTTCACCATCGAAATAAAAGACATGAGAACTTCGCCAAAATGGTGATGCACCGTGAAGTCAGCAGCGATTGATGGATGGTTTTTTTTGTGAAATAGTCTTGACCGAATCCAGACCAAACCCCCACAAATGAATGCAGATAATGATTAGGAGTTGGGAAGTCCAATTTCGATAGTTCCGAAGGTTGGCAAACATAGAAATGGGGATGGGTCAATACCTGTGGCGTCATCAAGCTGAGCTTTTCACACCTCTCCAAGGCCAGCGGATGCCTCACCTCAGCACTTTGGACTGCGCTCGCTTCTTTATCGGTGGGGGGCGCCCAGCTGCGTGGAACAGCGGAGATGAGACTTGAAGCGCCCCGAACCATCCAAGACTTCAGAGCGCTTGATGAATGTGGTTTTGGACAAAGAATGTTGTTCACGTTGGCAGATGTAGCGGCAGACAGTATTGTGTTTCACCGAGTGCTAGTGATTACTGGACTTATGTTCTGCTACACTGCAGTTTGACATTTGGCATGTGAGATCCTGCAAAATGATTTCCAACAAGCAGGCCCCAAAGAATCATGCCTTTATGTTGCGCCTTGCCATTCCACGAGAAACGAAACCGTTTGGTGTTTGACAAAGTTCTGTAGTTATGTATCCTTTATCAGCCCTTTTGAGCCTTTTCCGTTTATTCTTTGGCTTCAGAAAGTCTTGTTACGGTTGGTGGTTCTTGGCGAAGCTGTGTCGTTTTCTCCCTCGTCCCGCTTGGGATGGATGGATGGATGGATGAATGCATAGATTAGAAGCATAGATTAAATAGATTAGGTAGCTTAGATAGATTATATAGATACATTAGATACATTAGAATACACTAGATACATTTGATACATTAGATACATTAAATAGATTAGATTAGATAGATTAGATTGATTAGATAGTTTGAAAGATAGGATAGGATAGGATCGGATGGATCGATAGACAGATAGATAGATATGTGCAGCCCACATGGCTCAACCACAAGCTGTGCGTTACGGTCCAACCTGCCACTTCCATGCTTCAGGGGACGTGACTCTGGCGCCGCCAAAGTTGTTTGGCCCTCAGTTGCGCATGTCATGCCGGAGTGTTTACAACAAGGATGTTATGGGCATAGCAATACACATGGGGATACCATAGGGGATATCATTTGACATTTATCTACAACAGACATTCAACGGACATTCATGGCATCAAGGGAATCCCTTCACACAAATGTCAAATATCTTCCTGGGAAACATTGTGGCTTGGCATTGATCATCATTGATCACCATGAAATCTGGGGATTTTCCCAGCAGGGCACTGGTTAAAACCAGTGGCAGTTTGAGTAATTTAAGCGTGTAGATGTGTCGCAAAAAATGAATCAAAGAATCTGAGACTTTCTGACTTTCTGGTTACTGTTTGGCCCTGAATATTCAGACGGAAGCTTATGATGGAGTGTCACTCCAAGTGGCTGCCATTGGCTATAGAATATGCTCAGAAAGCCGTGAGCCATTTGTAGGGCGGAGGGTTTAGTACAAACAAATCAGCGGGTTGAGGTCCCAACATGATGCCCCATTTCAAAATTCTTGAGCCATGCTGGGCGACAATGATACGATGGCAGTCTGACCCACATATTCTGATCTTCTGCATTCTTCTGCCCTTGCTCTTCAAGATGTAGCTAAACGGGGACAGTACACTATCAGACACCACATCCATATGTGGCTGGATAGTAAAACGATGTGTCAAAGCATGGGTTTGTCCAAAAATAGGTAGAGACTATTGTAATGGAACAGGCTACCATATTTTTTGTCTTTGGGAGTGTTCCACATGTCCAGACAAACCCATATGCTTTGCTGATTTACCACAGTGTTCCAACTGGATGATGGGAAATCTTCACCAGAAACCTCTGTAGTTTTCGGGTTCAAAACCATTGCTTCCGATCAAGACTTTCCCAATAAACCTATGATATATCCACATTTGATAAATTTGATCATGACTTCCAGCACGACGTCACTGGAATGATGATTACTGTAGCACTGGCTATGTAGAATATATAGGGCCGGGGTAATTATCTCAAAACAGCACAAAAAAATCGGGCCTAAATTGAAAAAAGATCCACTCCAGATCCATTGGCAGATCCAATATTTATGATATATCCCATCAACCATTACAATACCATGATAAACATATCCATTATATCCATTGGTTTGTTCACTTCCAAAGATTGCGGATACTCCAGGCCAGAAGGCCCTTTGCTGCCGTGGCAGCAGGTGGTTTCCATCGAATTCGCCCTGCAACTTGGAAGCATTTCCTGGAGATCAGGACATGTCTTCCAGATTCTTCCAGAAGGAATTTTGAAGATGACGATTTCTGAGATATTGATAGATATCGGATGATATCGGAATCATGTAATTACCATGATATTACATACTATGTTCAGGATTTTTCCCGCTTGAACTTGAGATTATCGATGGTTGTCGTTTCTTTTTGGGTGCCAAATTGTGTGCGCCACACCACACGGGATGGTGCCCTAAACCGGTCTCAAATGTCTCAGGCATTACGCTTTTGGCAGTGAATCTTCGGCTCGAAGTTTCCTGGATCATGCCACACGCCAGTTGGCCGCAATAATGGCAGATGGACACCTTTTTTTTTATCCTGTTTAAAACTGTGTCATGTTGGATGAGGTTGCTGGTGGAATGCCGATCTAGATGGATCCCAGAGGATTTTCCTATTAGAAGCTCCATTTATAAGGGAGGTTTCAAGCCAGACACGTTTGAGGACACCAGAGGGTAGGTGGGATGGATAGGTAAGTTTCACTGGTGGCAGGCCGACTATGTGCAGGAGGATTGCTTCTCATTACCACTGCCGGGGACTGAAAAAGAGTTGAGCCGATGGACGCCTTGGTGTGTCCAAATATTACCTCATATTACCTCCAAAACCTGCATTACTGGCATTCTGAACCCCTTAAATTGTTTGGAAGATCCGACATTGTATTGGACATTGATTTGTTTTCTGTGTGTGTGATAGAGGGTCAGTTTTACAGAACGCCAGTCTGTTGATTTTTGTTTCATCATGTAGTTTTCATGCTCCTGATGGCATATCTCGCATTGTAGCCGTTCACAGCCAGGTTGACGCAAATGAAATTTCCAAGCTGGCAGCAAAGGCAAGGGAGAAACAGGAGATTGGAATGGCGGCTTAAGGTTTCACTATAATAGTCAACACTAGCCGAGAAATCTCCAGTTTTAATGGAAGTGATCAAGTTATCAACGTGACGGAGTGGGAGATACCCCTAGTGAATTATGGAATCCGCCACCTCAACTGTCTCAACGGAGATAGCGGTTGATTGCGAGTTTGTGTTGTGAAAAGGTCCCCATTCAGAATGGCTTCAATTTCTAGTTGTTTTATCAAATTCCCACTGTTGTTACTGTTTGAATTGTTTATGACTGTTTGAGAAACATATCCATCTTGTTGTTGCTTAAAGTCCTTTATTGTCCTCGGCAGAGCATTGCGCAGAAAGTTTCTGATCAGCTGGTCAGAGCTGGCCCCGAGGAGCTCTGCTGGGAAAATGGGCTGCTGAAGATCAGCTTTGAAAGCTTTGAAGAGCTCGAAAGGACAGTGTTTTTTTCCAAGAAGATTACCCTCTGGTAATTTAACATAACTATGGAAAATCACCATTTTTAATGGGAAAACTCACTATTTCTATGGCCATTTTCAATAGCTATTTTGACATAACCAGAGGGTACTGTCTGCTGTCATCAGACGTAGCTGGTTGGAAAATCCCCGATCTGAATGAAGGTTTAGTTTGCTGGGAAAAAAAACATCTATAAATGGTGGACTATTAAGGATAATTCCCATTTGAACAGTTCATTTAGCAGTATTCAAAATCTTTTGGTTGATGAGTTGTGCGTTAAGACTACCCAGTATATTGGGGATTCTTCCCATCCGCCGTGTGTGCTTTCATGGGAAAAGTGTGATTTTTCACAAATTGCCTAAGGCTTTTTAAGGGTTCTTAACCGCCATCAACTCTCATGAAAGCATATGAAAGCGGCTTACTGCAAACCCATGTGTCGGGCTATTACCTTCGCTGGGGCGTCTCGGGACCTGGCTTGTATGAAAAAAAATACAGTATGATGTGTCAAAATTTGTGTCGCTCTTGGTCAACAGAATGGCGCCAAATCCGCAATTTCTTCCAAAAGGTCATAGGTGCAAAAAAGCAGCCCAAGCATGAGGGATGGTCTATGAAAACATATGAAAACATGTGAAAACATGTGAACATATCATGGCAAGATCGCGATTCTTCCCAGGATTTCCCAGGATTTGGTTGTTTGGTGTCAGGTGTTGCTTGAAAGATAGGTCAAATCATGTCAAATCCCTTCCCCTGCACTAGGATAGCTGACGCGGATGAGAGGATCGGTGGGTCCGGTGGGTGAAAAAAGTGGAGCAATGAGGCATTGTTGTGGGCTTACTATGTGTAATTATTCGATGTTACCCTCTGGTTATTTAACATAGCCATGGAACATGGCCCATTTATAGATGGTTTACCTATTAAAAATGGTGATTTTCCATGGCTATGTTAAATAGCCAGATGGTAGATGTTGTATGATGCCATTATCCTGATGAAATGGGTCAATAGTTATTCAATAGTTTGTAGACCTTCTGACATGTTATGAAATCTGTACGGGCTTGGGGGCTCACCATGTCCATGCTGCAGTTGATGTTGCACTGCTGTTGTTATTCTCAATCGTTTCTGGGATATGTACAAGATCGCTGATAGATATGTGCAATTGTTGCGGATGAAGATATGCTGTGATCGCATGTATGTGATATCGCGCATTCCCGCGCAAGCTGACAGATAAATGAGTCAAATGCCAAACCATCCTCCACAGCGACAGGCAGCTATGACACATACATAGTATGCTACATGATGGAAGCAGTTGGGCAAGTTTTTGAATGCAAACTGGATTTAATTGTATAATGTGATGCTGATTAGTGGCCGTCCCCCCGACCCCCCTCCCCCTAACAATTATGGAGTCAATTTTGGAGGGACCAGATTCAGGATGATCAACTTAAATAAAGATTTCAATTGATGCCAATCAACTTTCAATTGATGTGTCTTTTAAATCTGTTCACAAAATCAGAATTAGTAAGGAGTTCAATTCATTTGATTTTAAGTCCAGTTACTTTTACTTTAAAGTCTAAGAAAAGTCTAAGGATTACATGGGAAGGATTTCAATTCATTTGAATCTACGTTCAATTGGTTTTCCGCTGGAGCCTAAAAGAACTGGGTTGCAGTTGAAATCAATCTACTTCAATTGATTTGTCTTTTAAACATTAAAGGAATCAATCAATGATAAGTAAGGGTTTCAATTTATACCAACCTACTTTCAATTCTTTTCTCTTTTTTAACCCAAAAGAATCTACATAAGGATAAGTAAGGATTTCAATTCGTATCAAATTGTTTTCAAGTCATTTTCCTTTTGAACAAAAAGAAATCTAAGGACCAGTAAGGATTCCAATTCATGTCGGTCTACTTTCAATTGGTTCCCTTTTCAATCCAAAGGAAGCCTAAGGATAAGTAAGGACTTCACAAGTAACAGCTTTACCCAAAGAAAGATGGACAACTGGTTTTGTCTTTTTTTGTTTAACACCAGACATTTCTGGGCACAATAGAGCACCATCCAAACAATGCTATTGTTGAGGATCTGAGTCACTCATGGGGTACCCCCTTGAAAAATTGTTTGGGTGCTGTTTTTTTTAATAAGGGTTTAATACGGAATTTATCGGAATTTAATCATTTGGGGAACCTTGCATTCTAAGGTTTCAAAATGGATATGGCTTTCTAAAGTAAATGGAGCAGCTTTACCATGCTTTACCCAAAGAAAGGTGGATACAACCTTTTACCCCAGAAATTTCTGGACACAATAGAATACCATCACAACAATTCTATTATTGAGGATCTGAGTCACTCATGGGGTACCCCTTGAAAAATTGTGTTGGTTGCTGTGTTTTAATAGGGGTTTAATAAGGAACAGGTGTGTCAATGGAGACATGTTTTTCTTGGACCTACTTTTTCCTCCTGAAAAAAATTGGTCGGGGAACAAACTTCCCCAAGAGGGTACCATCCCCCCCATTCCAGGGAACTGAATTCTTTTTAAACAACTTTCCCCCAATAGAGCACCATCCCACTAATCGGTATAGTAGTACATTAATTCAAATTACCTGTGGCCTGCATGTGTACCCACTAAACTCAACAAGAACGCCAACAATGGGTAGGACGTTGTCTCTTAATCCAATCATATCCAATCCATGTTGAACGACTTTTGGGGGTGTAATCAAACGCACCATTTTCTCAGCGGACTGCCCTGCGAAGGGTTTGTGCATTTAGTTTGCTTTGGTATGCTTTTGTAATTTCATGTAATTTCAAACGAGGGAGCCATGTTGTGATACAGTATATAATATAATATGAAATCAATGTGAAATCAATATGAAATCAATATGAAATCAATATGAACTATATATATATTGCACTATATACTGTATATAGAATGATGTTTTTTCGATGCAACCATGCATTTTTTCCATGCTTGAAATCCAGCCGGGGCGGTGCGCCAGGTTTGGGTTGCGCTACCGATTTAACCTGGCTGGTGGGGAAAGCCGTTTGGAAAATGGTGAGGTTTTCCACATCGAGCTGTTTCCAGGGTGAACACCAAGAAAAACATGACCCATGCCTTAAGAAATTATTCCAGGGTATCAACTAGGTTATGGAATAAGTTCTTTTGGAATAATTTTCAAGGAATAATTTTTGAGGGGGGTAGGTATACGATTATGCATGTTGGAATTTGAAAATCATGATCCAGCCCGTCAAGATACCCCGGAATAATTAGGTTTTGGAATAATTTTTGGTAATTAAAAACATCTTAAAACATCTTGAAGCAGCCTATACTTCCTACATTTGGCCTGGCCTTTCCAAAAGCCATTCCTAGCTTGGCGGTGTTTGCCTGAAAACTTTTTGCTGGAAATGCCAATTGCAGTTATTTAAGGCATCATGCAATTTGGGCAATTGCTTCCAACCTTTTTTTGCAGCGTACTTGCACGCACAACTAGTGTCGACCGGACCACCTTTCTCTCACGGTACTTTCTCTCGAGAGCTCTTTGGGTGGCAATGAATGGGGAATGTTAGGAAAATACCTAGGAAAAGGCCAGGTTAAGTGCCATTGTGTGGGCTGTCCCCAGGGGGGAAATTATTCTAGGGGTATTGGAGATGCCTGGCACCCCTCAAAAATGAAAGCGGACAGCTAATCACCAAATTAGCCCAGAAATTGGCAAGAATTGTCAAAAAAACAAATGAAACCCCACACATTTCCCACCCATTCCCACTATGGCCAACAGGAGTTTTTTGGAAGGAAATGAAGGGAATATGGAAGAAATAGGGGGGCGGACGCAAAGTTGGGAAAACCTCTAGAAGAGAGCCAAGTTGTTTTTTTTTTCCGGGCTTTCCCCAGGGGAGAAATTATTCTGGAGGTATTGGAGATGCCTGGCACCCCTGAAAAACAAAAGGGGGCAGCTGCTACAATCACAAAACAAATCCAGAAATTGGCAAAAAAAATTAACCAGTGACAACCAAATATTTTGCTTTTCCCACTCATTCCCACTAAGGCCAGAACCACCAAACTAGCCCAGAAACTGGAAAACACCCAAAACCAACTAAAACCATGTTCAGCCAGTGGGTTGCTGAGAGGAAATTTGTTTAAAGATACTATTCTGACTCTTCTTGATCCTATCTGAGTATGTTGAAAATTGTTTAAATTTGTGCCCCAGCTCTGCAAGAAGGGAAACCGTTTTCGGCCGTTTGCGCGCAGCTGCTTACGATCACTTGCGTTTGGCTAGAAATAGACTATACCGGCATCATTTTGGTGGAAATTATTCCATTTTTCCATATGAACTCATGAGTTCTTAGAATAATTGTTTTTTTGAACTCAACGGGTGCCGGAATAATATTTTAATTATTCTGAGGTATGTTGACGGGGGTATCCCCTTAAGGCATCCCTCATAGAAAAACCATGGAAAAACAATGGAAAAACCATGGAAAACCTCGGTGTGGGATGGTTTTGGATGGGTTTTTTTGATGGCAAACTGGGTGGTAAAATGCTAATGCCCCAAATTGGTGATGGATGGTTGATGCGTCGAAGATGGGCGCGTCACCGTGAACATTCCTACTTAACATCATTTGAGCATGTGATCTTTTTCGTTCAAGAATGTCGGAAGATTGCCCCCTTGTGTCATTCTAATCATCTATTTTTTGTATATCATCAAGTAAATTACCATGGATATGTGCTGTGGAACCCCCTGGAAGTTGGAGGTCCTTTTCCTTGCGAAACCATGGTTTTTAAATGTTTTTTGTTTCTACATCAGGTGAAGGTATCGACTGCCAGGAGTACGTGGTGCCAGAGGTGGTGCGCTTTTGATATTTTGTGGGAGGATAGATCCATTTTTTTAGGAAGAAAATGAAGGTTATGATTGGTTCATTTGGTTCACTGGTGGATTTATTTGGGGGCACCCTTTTCTTCAGACAAGCATGATTAGGTGTGAAACAGTGACAACTCTGACATGTTTTTTGTTTGCGGAATGATTAGGGTTTTGATGAATATCTTAAATATTACGCGAGGGAAATTGTCGATTTCTCTATCACACAATAGTCTACTGCAAGTCTATATATTGTTCTAAGGGCCATGATTGGTACATTTGGGTCTGGGTCAGCCAAGGAGACAGAAGGATTTTGATAGAAATGCCAACCAGCAAATTGTAATTAATTCACACCTGAAAAATGCTCAAACAATGGTGCGCTTGCTGGCGCAACAGAATGGACATAATGGGTCAACCAGCGGAGTTGTGCCGCCCATTCCGATAACTATAGTGATCCATTCCATCCTTCCAGTATATCAAGAAAATGTGCCACCAATCAGAACCAAATCCAATCAGATCTCGGATCACGTGCAGATCCCATCTGGTGCTTTGGAAGATTTTCCATCTATTGGGAATGTCATAATCCCAACTGGGTATGGATCAATACCTATTAATACCATTTTTAGTGGGATGAACATCCATAAATCCCAGCTATTTTGATGTGAACAGAAGGGGTACTATTGGTTTTGACACACTGCCAACTGACTTTCATATTTTTCAGAGGGGTAGGATGGGGTAGGTATACCACCAACCATCAGATCACGAGCGTTTCTCTTCAGGATTGTTTGGTGCCCTTGCTGCACGAACTTGACTTTGATCTGGTGACCAACGCGTCGGACAAGGCTCCACGTAACAGCACAGGCATGCGGCAAACACATGCAAACACAATGTTAACCTGATTTTATTTCCAAACAAGAAACATAATCTACACAGTACTGTGTCAAAAAGAAAATATGATTATAATGACCCAAGAATGCATGGTTTCAGTGGAAAAAACATGATTGGAATAATAACGCTGATGATTATAGACTTATAGACATTATAAATAAGAATACGAATGACAAACAACGTATTTTTATTGATGTTATGATATTATGAATTATTGTCATTCTTATGTTATGCTTATTATTAAGATATTTGGTTCATCAAAAGTGTCACCTTTGCCTCCAGCTTTCACACCTCAGGCAGCAGTTTGCTTCACGGAGCTCCTTGAGCAAGAAGACTTCTCCTCGAGGAATCTGGCAAGGGCCATCCTCACCAGGTGCCTTATTTGCGCCGATGATGGGGTGGAAAAGCAGCATGTTTCGACCCTTGTACGAAACTGTGGAATTTTCCCTTTGCCGGGTTAGATTGCTGGCATGTTTGATTTTTTGGATCGGTGTGTTGCTCTCAATTTCCATGGAAGCTGGAAGAACATGTGCTCCTGCGTCCTGCGAGCAACAAAAAAGCGTGGGTCAAGCTATCAGATGTACACAGACCAATGACTGATCATACCGGCTGGATGGGTAGTGGTTTCAATTCGTTCAAAAAATGGAACAAAGCACCCATGCCCGTGATTTCCCCCCTCGAGACGACTTGTTTCATGCTGTGAAACTAACATTTGCCATGCAAAATGCCCATGAAAAATCATTGGGCGAGGCTTGGATGCGACCAAGTGGAGGCGGCTGGGATGATGGTCATGGGATGAAAGCCATGCCAAGACTGGATCAACTGAGTACTTCTGACTGTCTCCAAGTAAAGTGCCAAGTTTTTCGCAGCATGTTGTTGTTGTTGTCGTTGCCGTCGTCGTCGTGGTTGTCGTTGGCTTGCTGTTGCTGTTACTGTTGCTGTTGGCTTGCTGGAAACCCCCCCATTGAGTTCCATAATTTGCTCATTTAAACCTCCATGTTTGATGTGGATTCCCAGCAGCAAGGTCCCTTAGCTCATTTTGACATTCTCTCTGCTGTCAGGAAGCCGGTGATGTCTCGGTCTATGACCGGCTTGGACTGAAGATCAACAGGTGCTGAAGTGGCGGATGGCTGTTTCTTCCCAATCCTGATTTGGATTGATTTGGGATCATAAACTCCAACCTAGGTGTTTTCATTGAGGTGGGTTGAACCTACCAATCCGCCATCTCGGCCAAAAAAAACAAGTTGAACCACCAAAGTCGAACGACTTGAATGTCTCATCGTCTCATCTCCGAGGGCACGGGCCCATGAAAATCACTGGCCAAGGGAAGAGGAAGAGGTTCTGTCGCTCTACAAGTGGGGAAGCTCAGCGGAGGAGACCACTATGGATCTACAGCTGAAATACTCTGATTTCAGATGGGTATGGAGTGGTATGTCCGGGATGGGCCGGGTGTTGGTCGGGTGTTGGTCCAAATTCAAAGCATATTCAAAGCTTTGGGCACCATCGATGTTGCTCTCTTTTAGCACGTTTTAGTAATTATTACAGCAATAGGTCTCATTTTGGGGTGCTCAATTTTTTGATCTTCAGTCTATACCTACAAAGTTTTCTGTTGATTTCCCAGGTCACGGTACTTGTTTTGGGTTATTGCCCTCACATGCCATGGGACCCTGCGGCTTGTTGGTTCAGAAGTTTATCATACGGTGCATGAAGAGACCTCCACGTTGACAGAGCCTCCAATGTGCTGGCGCTGCAATGTCTGACAAATTTGGTCGAAGATAAGCTATGACAACATGAGTGAGGCGAACTTCCCCCAATGTTTGCGCAAAGCGCGTTATCAAAGATTTCTATAGTTCAACTCATGGTTGCATTTCGGACGACGGTGTTCATGTCTTGTGCGGTAAAGATGTGGCTATGGCGATGTATGCCGCTTCTGCTGGGAGCGGAGTCCGTGAATTACTTTGTCACCGATCGTTCCTTGGGCTTTTGGATTCTGCATGGGAATGATTGGACCAGCCAGAGCAAAGAGGACCCAAAAGACTTATATATAGAAGTATTTAAAAGTAACAAGGGAGGCTGTGTTGTCAAGATGTCGTTGTTTTTTACGGCAGCATGTCAGCCAAACATGGGCAATCAAAGCTCCAGAAATCCAACCATACTGAACATCATTACTGTGTATCAGTTTGACGTTGGGGATTTGTTTCACCTGGGCAGAGGGTATGAGACATTCAGAATCATTAAGATGTGCTTTGTTCATCTCAAATACTTTGAAACATACTTTGAAACATACTATGCCTCTCTCTATCTCTATCCCCAGGACAAATCATAGTACCAATGGTATGTAATATTAATGTAATGATTTGTGGCATCGCATCATCGGCATCGCATCTCACGGTTTGCAGAGTCTTCTGCCAGGAAAGGTCCTCTACGAAGGCGACCCGGTGATTCCAGGCACCTACGACAACGTCACGGCGTTGCAATGTCAAGAGCCTTGGCTCGAAAAGGCTAAGCCAAACGGTCAAAGCATCCAAGAGTTTGTTTAAAAAAACTTGTTGGTTTAGAGTTGAATCTTTCCCAACCTTGATTTTGCATTTTTGTTTTTTGATCTTTAAAACCCTGTTCTTGAGGCCTATTGCAATCTCAACGCCAACTGCAGTTCCTTCTCCTTTTGTGGCAGTTCTTGCTACCTGAAGAAGGCGGGCATTCCAAGTTCAACAACCGAAAACATGCTGGCTGACGAAGTACAAGTTACAAGTCCGAAATAAATTAGTCGACTTTACCATGCCCATAAGTTTGTCTTATTATGTGAACCCGACATATGAAATTGGGCAAATTTGTCTGCAGAGTGCCGTCTTCCCTGCATTCAGTTCTGTCTATGAAGTCACCACGGTAGTAGGGATCATTTTTTTCAGATCTGGGTCTTGGTGCTTTCCATACCATTACCCATAGGATCCATGTATGCTATATATATATGTGGTAACATGTACCATAAATATACACCAGTCATGTTAGCATATATAGCAGCACCATGGATCCGTCATGGGTTATGACATATTTCGACATATGCTGACCATTTTTGCTACCCCAACTTCGACCCCACAGTGTGCCCCGCGAGTCGCAGGCCTGCATCATGGATCATGAGCCACTAGCGCCCCAGCGAAAATTCTGGCAGCCCGCTAATATTATGATAGTATGTACCACCCCTTTTTGGGGCCACAAAACAGAACACAAATACAATACTAAAAGAATTGGATGATGGGAAAAATTACAGGAAGGAAAGCCCTATTTGATGGTAAAAACCCATGGTTTCCTGTAGGTTTTCCCCAACAAACCAACCCAATGAAATACCAAACCACGGTTCTAGGCTAGTATTTCATGTTTTTTTCGGGGGAAGGGGCTGTGTTTCTCTGGTTTTTCTCTGTATTCCTATGGATCCATTATGCCTCATGATCCGTGATGTAGATGTTGATTCAACTTGATTCAACATCAATTCTGTCTTCAACGCCAATATCTCTCTCCGGGATCAATAAACGCATGGGCTGATATTTCACATAATTGGTACCCTCTGGTAATTTAACATAGCTATTGAAAATGGCCATTTATAGTGAGTTTTCCCATTAAAAATGATGATTTTCCATAGTTATGTGAGTTTGCCAGAGGGTAGCCCAACCATCGTGCCATCAGAATTTCATGGATCCCCAGGTCGACAATGCCAGCTGGAACGGCGAGTGCGTCACGTATTGGAAGCGCTGCAGTGCCCTGGAGGGATACGAAGTCACTGAACGGCTCTTGTCGGAGCAGGTGGGAAACATAGCCGCGGGGCAGCTGGCGGACGTGGAATGTGTAGGGATTCAACATATTGGATGTGTATGAAAAAGGGGGGATACACCATTTTAAATGGGACTAATTAATATGATGATGAATCATATGTCAAATTGTCAATGAGTTGCTGTCCTAATCATCCAGTTTGGGGGTGGGCTGAAATGTTCATACAAGCATAGCAGGACTGTTTTGTGGACTGTTTGATGTGTCATGTTGACTTAAGAAAATTCATTGGTGCAACTAGGCTACACTTGAGGGATTTTATGCAAGTTCCTATGCAATACCTGTGGTTATTTGTCTAAAACGCTGATTTCGAACGCAAGATCTCCCACTAAGGTTGAAAGTGTAACTGTGAGCTGGCAAGTGGATGCAACTGGTTTGTATGTGGACAGCACCGCATACCCCAGCATAACAGGTAGTTCCCGTAAATGCAGCTTACATGGGATAAATGGCCATGCATGGCTAGTCATCTTGTGTTTCACCACTTCAGCCATATTTTTGGCTTCAGGGTGTGGAGATTGAGAATGTCATGACAGACAACTTGGGTGTCTGTGCAACTGCCTGTGATGAAAATCCGGGCTGCAACTCCTTCTCCTTCTATGCTCCCTCCAGGGGCTGTCACCTGAAGGTCGGCAAAACGTTGAGGAAGTCAAGGGAGGCTAAGGGACACCCATCTTGGACCCACCCCTCAGTAGCATGCATGCATATTAAAGACATCCATATATAGGCTATACACAAAAATACTTTGCTGCAAAGCTTAAGGTTATGAAAATCTTGCCAGCAAACTCTGAGGGTTGTTGAATAATTATTTATATTTGTCATGTTTTTGTCATTTGGTGTTGCATTTTGTGTCATCATTTCCGTCATGTTCTTGTCGTTTTCTCATCTGGCGCGGGTGCCTAGATCTGGAGCTGGAAAGTCCAAAAACCTGATTGACTTCAGCACGGGAGTCATTTTTTGCATTGTTTTGATTTTTTTGTCATTTTTGTGCATGTTTGCGTTTTTTGTGCATTTCTTTTGCATGTTTTTGCCATTTCCCAGATAGGGAGACATGTTTGTGGCATGTCCCAAATTGGGAGACATTTTTTTGACATTTTATTGCATGTCCCAAACCAAAGTGACAAAGAAATTACAAACAAAAATGACAGTAAAATGACAACGCAAATCCAAAATGGCAACCTGAACGACAAAAAAAATACGAAAAACCTACATTTTTTTATTTTCCAATGTTTGCAGGCCTTGTATTTTCCAATGTTTGCAGGCCCAAGATTTTCCTAAGCTTAGGGTCTGGAAGGGGTGCCTGGCCCAAGATGCGGTTCATCCACTGAGCCGTCCAGGCGAAGTGTGTGGAAGCCACCGATGCTTTGATCCCAGTGGATAGCCCTGCAGCAGCGACTTGGCAAATGAGTTGATTTGATAGGTTTGCAGGTTATATGAGCTAGGAAAAATGGAGGTTTTAATGGGAAAACCATAGGAAAACCATAGGAAAATGGAGGTTTACCCTGTGGTGATATGAGCTATGGTCAATACTCATGGTTAATAACCATTATATAATAGGGGCTAGTCATCCAATGGTTCATAGGGATGAAAATAATAACCATGAAAAAAGGATCCTATATAGTGAGTATTGACCATGGCTCATATAGTAGTTTGGACTTTGCATTTGCTTCCTCTAAGGCAGTGTAAAGCTGTATCTAGTGCAGCGGCGCGCCTTGTGGTAACACTGGTCACCTCAGGCCTTTTGAAAGTCTGATAACTCTCCAAAAAAGAGAACATCATCCACAGCCTGGAGATGTGTCGTTTTCTTTCCTTCATCCTGCTTGGGAGGCTCCCAACATCTCCCAGCTGATTCGTATTTTTTTGGCCCGCCAAGCCAAGCAGATCATGGATCCTTTGAAAGGCACCTCCTTTTTTTCCCTGGACCAAAAGCCACTGTGGAAGTCTCATCCCCTCCGAGGTCTATCGGACCTTCTATCGCTGTTGTACCTGCAGTAGCACCACCACCACTAGCACCATGTCACCATGGCAAAGCTTGCCCAGAGCAGTCGCCTTTGAAGGCGCGAGAGTGGGTAATAAACCTTGGTGTAGGTGAACATGGTGGACATTTGAATCACAGCTGGACCTATGGGGATCCTAGGGGTATATTCCTGTGATGATCACTGCTATCCCAAAACTTGGGAGGATGATCCTAACTTTCTACCATTGTAAGTGGTTACAACCACCAGGGAGAGATTGTAGTTGATTCATGTTTTTGTGATGGTTGACAGTGGAAACCAGCCTGTGCTGGAGGCGCGGGAGCAACACCTGGTACCTATGAGGGCTACACAGCGGCTCGGACTTAACACATGTCTTCGAAAGCAGCCGAATGTTATGGCACCCCCCCAACAAGAAAAGGTACAAGAGTGATTTAACCACTATCTCAGTTGAATTTAACGTTTCCATTTTTTGGGGGTTCCTATCTATGAGGATAAGGCTGGACACAATACCTGAAGCATCCTGAAGCGCTTCTTCAGCTAGTTGAAACATCAGTACTGAATGGTTGGCGGCGGCACTCCAAGTGGTTGTTGCATAATATGTTGCAACATTGGAACCAACTGCCAATCAAGTATCCTCAGAGTCTACTCTATGACTTCAGCCATCCGTCCCTGGACGCCAGGTCAGCGACTGCCAGATCTTGTGTGATGCCAACCCCTACTGCAATTCCTTTACCTTTTGCAGCTCCTCATGCTACATGAAAGAGTCGCTGCGCTGGTTAGCTGTTTTTTTTTTGACTTTTTTTGGATTTTTCTGCAACGCCCTCTGTGCATGGAGAAAGGACAAAGCATGACAAAGCTTCATTTCAGGGACTTCCCAGCTGCTATCAGCTGCTGGATGAGGGAAATGAGGGAAAGGTCATTCTACGCAACACCGAGGCAGTGCATCTTGGGTGGGGAAGAGCTGGTACCAGTAGATGGCTGGAACGGATGTGTCACCCACTACAATCCATGTCCGCACCTCAGATCCTCAGCCCGTCGTCAGGAAAGTTGATCATTTGGCCCATGGCAGTATCACATTAAATTATTCATGTCCATTCAGATCTTACCAGTATATACATGTATATACTAGACAGCAATTAATGATTAAGTAACTAAGTATATGAAGTGTCAGGTTAAACATTGTTCAACCATGCAACCATGTTTAGCCATATTCAGCCCATTTTTTTTGCTTCAGTTCCTTGAGGTTTTTTCTCCCCCATGACCTCTCTAGGTCCAGTCACCAGCACCTCCACCTCCACGGCCACCATCTCCACCATCACCGCCACGCGGACGAGCACCACACTCAACGGCACCAGCAGCACCACGCTGACCCTCACGGAGACGACGCACTTCGGGACCGGTGTGGTGCCGGATGGCAGCACGACCGACGGAATTGAGCCGCCGGATGGGGACTATGTGCCTGTGGCTCCTTGGCTGCGGGAAGCTTGGGCATTTTTGGGGGAATTTTGGGGGTTGGGGATGTTGGGGATGTTGGGGATACTTGACATATACAGACATCCCAAACTCGGACATCCACGTTTATATTGTGGAAACAATCCCGCTTGTGGACCTTATGCTTGTCCTTGGCGCTGAACTAATACAGGATTACGTACCTGATTTTTCTTATCGTTGCAATGTGCTGACTTCGATTATTGTTGTTATTTCATCCGTTTGTTCAAGGAAACATGCAGAAACACATGCATTTGCAAGGTAAAACCGAGGTTTCCTGAGTTTCCTGTTGCAATGTCCCTTACATCAAGCCAATAACACCGCCAAATCCCCATTGTTTGATGTCTTTCTTGGTTTATAGAATCACCCATAGCTGGTTGGTTCAAACCAAGCAGTTGTGACCATCATCGCCGCAGAACCTCGCATTTCAGAGACAACCTCTCACACCGGCGCTAACGATGTGCATCCTTGGGCTGGCCGTGCGGTGATGACGAAAATCAGTGGCTGTGGCGTCTTGAAAAAAGACATCTAGGAATCTAGGTAAACCATGGTAAACCATGGTAAACCTAGGTGCAGAGTCTAAGTGAAATGGGATAATGATGGATAAATTCAATATGATGAAATTCTCAATTACTGTGAATTATAATGAATTATACCATATGTACAGCAGTTCTTGGCATTTATTGGCTAAATGCTGATACTGATGGCATATTTCATATCCTGCTTCTAGGATTGGTCATGTATATATAATAAGAAGGCATATCAGAATGGGTTTGTTTCAGGGAATTTTTGAACAAAATTGATTCAGTGATATTCATTGTGCTTCAGTGAGCTCATGCCGCCACCTAATCATATATAATCCAGATATAGAAAGTCAGACACACACGCGTTGCGATTAACGCGTTGCGATTAACGCGTTGCGATTAACGCGTTGCGATTAACGCGTTGCGATTAACGCGCAATTTGCTATGGCTGGCAAGCTAGGCAGGCCACAAGATGCGCTGCCACGGGCTTCAGTCGTGCTGCGACTGCCGGTGTTTTTAGTGGATTCCTAGCCATGGGTCAATACCTATAAATATCCTATTTTCATGGGGATGAAATGGGATGAACATCCGCGTTTTACCACTTATTTTGGCTATGTTGTTACGGATGCAGGGTTTTGATCCATCCCCTGTGCCCAAAAATGGGGTACTCAATGATCCAACACACAATGGTGTATCATCGTTTCTCATGATAGTCTGATAGTCCTATCACAATTGCCATGTTGGGGTATACCACTTATACCACCCAAATTTTAGACTACATAAGCCAAAAGTGTGGTGAGCCACCCAGTCCGTGATCAGATCATAGATGTCTCAAATAGCCTACTTGTTGATGAAAATATAGGGGCAGTCCTCATTAGTTATACAATTTCACTGACAATAAATGGTATGCGCAACCGACCCATCTATTTATCCCTTTCCCCGAAAGGGCATGGTTGGATGGTTGGATCAGAGGTTATCACAGACTTACATCAGGCAGGGGACTTGCAAGCCATTTGTCGTGACCAGACCGGATGATCAACCAAATGAACGTGGATGACGCCAATATAGGTAAATGAACAAACATGGGAGAAGAATAGGGGTATGGTAGATCCTGGGTATATGGATCTAGTTTGATAGAGTAGGGGACATAGTGAGGAATGCTCATACAGGGCAATAGCCCCCAGGGAACATTGTAAGTATCTCAGCTTTGACCACCTGCAGTCCATCCGGATTCAGTGGCTATGCTACGATACCGCAGCAACTGCCGCTCCATACTGCAAAGCAGTGGCTGTAACAATTGACAGTAAAAAGCTGCAAAAAGGATAAAGAGACCTGCAGTCAAGAGCCCAAGGATGCGTGTTACCAGAGCCTGGACGCCAGGATTATCCAGGATTCCCCACCAGTATTGGAGTGTACCCGTGGGCAATTCAACCTGGCAATGCGAAAACCCTTTTCGTCAACAGGAAAATCATCAACACGTGAATCTGTCTCAAAATCGGGTACTGTACCAATTTGATATTTGGATATATTTGGTGAATCATCATATGTTCCCTCCTTTACCATCAAACTATTTGATATTTAAGGTTAATCATCCATCTTTTCCCCGTTGAAAGATGGTAAAACATGAGGGTTTCAGTGGTTCGCTGAACGGCCGCCGTTGAAGAGCGCTGAGATTTTACGTGGCCCGGAGACGAGAGGCTCGGCTGGGAAGCAACGGAAGCAACGGAAGCTCGGCTGGGAAAACCCTGGCACCACATGGCCAGAAAGCGCGAAAAATATGAAGAACTGAAGAATAAGAACCTGTAGGGGATGATTGGATGAATTGGATGGTTGATGTTTGGCGTGACAAAAGATTGCACACAATCATTGGCTCTTGATGTTCCCAGAAGTTCTTCATGTTACGCACATTTATGGTTGATTACATTCTTGTCCGTCAATACCAAATTTAGTATTATCAAGATACACTCTACAGGAACTTCAGTGTGACTGGTTTCTCAATGATTTGGAGTGGTTGCATGTTTCTGTGTTGCTGATCGCGGCCTTGTACGGTCTCAACTGGCCAACCCCCAGGCCATTTTTCCATTTTCAACATGCCCACGGGCGCCTACGTTTGAACCCATGCCCAATGGTTAGTCCCAAATATGTGTTTCAATCATTTCCGGAAAACATCGTCAACCGCTAACAGTTAACAAAGGGTTGATTCTGATGTGCACCTCAAATGGTCCAGAACTCGCTAGCCGCTCCCTGTGTTTCTGTTTGGCGAGAGGGAGTGAATGCTTCTATGCCTTCGATAGAGGAGTTGAAGGCACAGATCAACTCAGGAGTCGCGCCATGTCGTGCCGGGCGTTCTTTTGCCCATTGGGAGGGTTAGCAACTCATAGCTGGTCGGTAGTTGGTGCTGGGTTTAGACATTCTTTACTGGTTGGTGGTTTGGAACATGTTTTATTTTTCCATATATTGGGAATAAGGTGAACAACTGACTTTCATATTTTTCAGAGGGGTTGAAACCACCAAGCAGTTTATGTTCATCACCTGGGCTGCCTGGGTTGATGATGATGTTGAAACCACCGAGCAAACAACTAGTCATATTGGGCATGACGTGGAACCCCTGTTGTTCATCACTCGGATCTATCCCCAAAACATTTCCCAAAAAGAAAGGTACTCGTATGTAAGACAGCGAACCATAATGGTGGGTTATTTGTTTCATTCGGTACGGAACCAGCAGAAATTGATTGATTCAACAAAATCTCACAGCCTGCAGAAAATTGGACTGTTTCAACAAAACCTGCCAGGCAAATGACGAGGCCTTGAGCCAGGCGCGGTGAAAAAGAAAGTCTTCATAGTCATCCTGAGAGTCACACGCCACCATTTGTGGCGGTAGCTGGACCTTGCCCAATGTGTTGCGCGAGGCGGGTGATTTGCTGAAAGCACAGCCGCCAGTGGATCTGAGAGGCGTGACTCGCTCTTCAAGCGAGGCGTGGAAAACATTGGAAAACGTGGTCGACTGCGCAGCAACTGGGATGTCATTGATATTATTTGGGGAAATTATAACGACCTCACTGCGACCTCACTGGAATCATGGTTAATAAGAGGAATCATCCCAACATGGCCTTATTTCAGGTTAGTGAATTATTATAATTTACCCAGATGTAGTCACAAGGGCACGCATTGGTGGGATTATGATTTACTGTAACCATCAATAATTACTAGGGATTCAATTGGGATATAATGGGAACACATGGGATATCTAACCAACAGTAACCAACAATATGATACATGGGTGTTAAAAAATCGGGGATTGGACCTTCAAATTTCCTTTATTTTTCCAATGGAGGATGGTGATTAGATGTGATTAGCGACTACCTTCAGGAGTATATACACTATTTTCAGACAAACCCAAATAGCCATCCCAGAGCAGATAGAATATTTATCAATATCCTGCCATTTATTGTTTCGGCAAGTCTGGGGTCGGCCACGGTTTTGTTCTGTCTACTCCTAAGACGGTTTCCAGTCTTTGCGTGGCTTCAGCCACTGCCAATGTGTTTGTTGTCGAGCTAGAATATTGGTGATATAATGTTATATATATATATAGTAATTACCTGGTAAACATCAAACCTATAGAAATTCTTAGTGCAAATTAAAATAACTAGTTATTCGGGTTCATTTCGCCTAATTTCTAGTACGAACGCAAAAACTTAGGTCTGAACGCTTATTCTTGGGGCAACTATGAAAGAAACAAATTTCAACATTTTGTTGCATTCGCGAACGGGCAGCGAACTCATTCTGAACGCATTTTGCGCGGGTTTTGAAGTCATTTGAACGGGTACGGGTTTGAACGGGTACGACTACGCTAAATTGTTGCCTTTTTAGGATGGGTTTGAACGGGTTCGAACGCATCTGAATGGGCTTCAACTCGGTCAACGGTTTTGACCGCATATTCTTAGGGCGCCCTAAGAATTTCTAGGGCAAATGGCAAATAACTGGTTATTCAGTGGTGCCCTAGAAATTCTTAGGTTTCAGGTTTAGCAGGTTTATATATATATATATACATTGTTATTATATGTTATTACTTATATGTTATAATAATATAATATTATAATAATTATATATATATTATATTACTGTATGTATGTATATATATATATGTGTACAAATGCCATTTATACATTGATGTATGCTATATGATTGTCATGCAGCATCTTAGTTCTGCTTAGTATCATGTAATAAAGTATGAATTTAAGAACATTCATTCTTAAGTAAGTTAAGTATATGTTCTTGATGTTCTATTGTGTTATGTTTCATGAAATGAAGAAGGTAAGTATAGCACATCAGTTTTGATCGCGCTTCAAGGCCCCAGTGCGAATCAGTCAACCCCGGATTAATAAACCATGGTTTATTAATTAATGGGGTACCCCCAAAAAAGTTACTAAATATTGTATAACCATGATTTACAGACTTCAATTGTATGATCTAATATTTCAATGGTCCCCCCCTTCCTAATTAAACAGCCTAGGGGGGTTATTCGGTTCATTCCAGTTTTGACATTCTTCGGGGGCCTTAAAATCCCACCATTGAACACATCCAGCAGTTCCAATTCCTATGGCAGTTCCAGCACGGCACCGCGGCCAGTTTCTAGACTCCCGGCCGCTCCAAATCGCTCCTGCGACCGGACGGGGTGTTTTTGATCAGATGGCTGCGACCGAAGCCGCAGACCTATCGAAGCTCAAAGCAGCTTCCATGGAGGAGGACGGCGAAAAGCCATGGCTGACCATACCATACCCCAACAACAGAATTGTTGAACACTGAAGATATCTTAAGATATTTGCAGCTATTGAGGATTGATATCAATGATATATATATATAATAGATATAGATATAGTGATATATAGTGTATTTATCTATTTTTGTAGGTATGAGTAAGGCCCAAGAAAATGCAGAGCCTCCGGCTTCAGGACTTGGTTTTGGACACCTTGTCAATCTACACCATTCGTCTATTGTCAGCCGATATGGTGGACAAGGCTGGGGTTGGGCTTTCTTGCAGGTCGAAGGCTGGAGATGCGAATTGGTCTCCACCAGAGCCGAGGTAAATGATCCTTCGCAACCCTTCAAACTTGCGTTACAAGCCCTGATAATTATGATCCAACATGGCCAAGAGGGCCATTATGGGGATTCGGGCATGTATGTGTGTGTCTGTGGCTTTGATGATCATTGAGAAAATGAGCACTTGCGTTTTTGAGTAACCTCAACCTATGGTTGAAACCGGCCACCGCTTCAGGCCTCCTCGGGCCACTTGGGAACTCCTTTTGGTTGCGCTCCATTGGCCAATGCTTTGTGCTGTGGTCTGCAGTTGGGTGCTGCCTGTTGGCCCCAAAAATGGGGCTCAGCGACCAAACCCTTCAAGCCAGAAGTGTTTAGTGGAATCAGTTGGGATCTTCCATTCTTCCATCTTCAACCCCTCTGGGGCCTCTTGGCCGCTGACCGCCTGCTTTCTGCCCCCTAAGGTGGGGCAAAATCATGCGGTTCTCACCATTTCAAAGGCCGGAACACAGCTTGAATTTAATGACCATTTGAGGAATCGCAGATGGGGTGAAACGAACAAGACCTCTTCGAGAGGGTGGTTGCGAACCAGCAAAGATGATAAAGATTGTGATAGTGGCAGAATCATATGTAATTGATCAATCCATTATACTTTACCATGCTCGCCAATTTTGAAGGGAGCCAACCTAACTTGGCGGACTTGCAAGCCAGAGCTCCTAAGCACTTTTTGCCGGGCATGAGCAGCCAAACACAAGCACATATTGCATTGCAGGTGGATAAACCGTGACCGATTCGCAGCTTGGCTAGGAGCGTGCTTGTGATGGGCAGGTCAGAGAAAGATGATGCCCCATGGTAACCCTGGACAAAAACACCTGACCCACTGGAAAAAAACGCACAAAGGGTCAACTGAAGACAGAAACACACATGGAGAAACTTTGGGGTCCCCAGTTCCAGTTGATCCAGTTGTGTTTACATGTGTTCATTGTGCACCTTGAAGTCTACTCCTTCCTAAGGTGCTTTCTGCTGGCCATGCCAGTGCGTTGCTGTACGTCATGCTCCACTTGACAGGCAATGGACTGGGCGGCCCCTACGACTCTCAGCAAAAAAATAGTATAAAATCCGTCTACAGAAAGGACACGATTTGAGATATCTTGAGATTCAGAAGGTGCTCCTATAGCAACTTATGCTCTTGGCAGGGTGCAAAAATGTGGAGATAATTGTAGGACGATAGATTCAGCTCGAAGCTTTAGCCATGAATCTTCAAGGAAACCTAATTTAGTTTGGTAGTTTCATCTTTGAAGCTGTCCATGACTTGACAGGATGGTAAAGCACCTGGTTGACGGTTTCAAATATTATATTTATATATTGCAGTATGTTGATTTATATTACCAATATATGTTTTTTTTCTTCAAATATCTTCAAATTATTCATACACTACCAAGCATTTCTGGTGGATCAGAACTACAAAGCAGTCGGCAATGTGAAACCACCCACCAAGGAGGTATCGATGGAGCGATTGCAGCAGTTTCGCCAAGCAGGCGCTCCTCTGATCTTCCAGTTTTGCTTGATATCCAATATTGTAGTACCGTGCCTACTTTGAGACAAAACCATTTTGGACTGACTACTATGCATAAATATGAATAGAATATATAATTATGATGCAATTATACATTATTTTCATACTTAGCACGGCATAGTAGTCAGTTAATATATGGGTTTGTCCAAAAATAGGCAGGGTAGTTGCTATGTAGAGAATTTTAGCCAGTGGTTTATCATCATGAACCTATGTAACCCATCAAAGTTGTTATACAGTTGAGTACACCCCATTTCAGGACAGACTATAACCCAGGCAGTAGACGTGACCAGTTAGACTTTGACAGTTAATCAAGTAGTGAGTTGCAGTTGTTTGGTCATCCTCAGTTGTTCTGACTGAAATCTCTCTTGCCATCTCTTTTCACAGTATATTCCTGTGGTCTCATGATGCATTGACAATGTTTGAACTTGAACCATTCAAGAACAGTACATTGAGCACTTCATATTCATGTTCATCCATGTTCAACATCCTTGATGTTCAGCGATCTTATTGGTGAGACCTTGGATATACTCCATTTGCAATAGGGATATGTAGCTGCTATTGTTTGCAAGCAAGCTAGAAATTACATGTTTGAGGGGTACCAAGGATCGCCAGGATATGCCAGGATTATATCAACCATTGCCATGCAGGCAGCAGCACGCCTGGACACCCAGAGTTCCGAATGACCAGCGGAGTGGAGGTGACTACCGGTCCTTTGGGGCAAGGCTTTGCCAACGCCGTAGGTGGGGCCGGGATGACTGGGGTGGCTGGTGCTCGCATGATGAGGTTTCATTGGGCTTGCTGTTTCAAAAGGGTTTTGTTGATGATGTTTTTGTGAAGTTTGCCCGTGTATTGCTATATATTGCTATTCAAGCTCCCAGTAGGGGTGCTTGTTAGTGACTTTTTGGAGTAACTGCAAACACCATGCAACACCGCTGCAACGTTGCACACACCTGCCTTGCAAGAAGATCCAGAGGCATGGCGATTGCAGAAGCACATTTGGCTGCACGCTTCAACAAGGAAGGCTTTGCGCGACTCGACCTGCAAGCGAAAAACCATGGCAAAACCATGTAGATCAACTTAAGACACGCTGCACACATACTGGGTCATATTTGCAGTTCCAAATGTTCTGTCCTATTCAAGTATATGCTTATATAGTACAAAATGGTGCAAATACTTATGCGTACTTATGAGTGCCAAGAATTTCAGCCTTTTGTGGTATTCATTTTCGCCAAAAAGCTGAGGCTTTTTGACAATTACACCTTTGTCTTGGCTGGTGATGGCTGCCTGATGGAAGCCTGGCTGGGAAAGGTTGGATGGCTGAAACTATTGTGAATGTACTATATAATTATAATTATATATAATATGACTGTTCACATATATACATATATATTATATACATATATAATTATATAAATGTCCAAAGTTGAGCTGCCTTTCCCAAAATAATTCTCCCACATTCGGACGTCTTGTTGGTGATCCGAATGGCCCCGCTAGTGGTCCCTGGCCCCAGCTAGTCAGGGCTCCATAACGATCCGGGCTCAGGAAGGTGTATGTTCGGAGGCCGCGTCGCTGGCTGGACATTTGAAGCTGCACAAACTCATCGTTTTCTACGATGACGCTAGGCCACGAGCTGGGCCACGAGCTGGGTCCCGGGGGTGAGTCGCCGGCTGGGGATTTGCCTACAAGTTGATGGGGATCTTTTGTTGTTGCCTGTTTTTACAACTAGTAGTCATAGCAGCATGGCCCAGCAATTAGTGTGACCATCCTAGACATTCTACTTGCTTCAGAGCTATGCAGTGCTTGGCCAGCACTATGGCGCTTTGAGAAAGATACGGGCGTGTCGGAAAATGGGATACACAAGTATACATAACTTATCGGTGATCCTACCAAAGCGGTGCCCAAGAGTGCTCAAAAGAGCACGTCATTGGTGATCCTGTGTTTGCACCTTGAGGATTTGCCTTGTAACAGGTTTTAACTCGGACCTCGATGAGCAATTCACTTGCATCAAAAGAAACAACAACAGAGAGGGAGAGAGAGAGAGTGTGTGTGAGACGTATTTAAATATGGATGTGCATTGTATACTTATATTTGGGTATGGATCACACTAACAACCTCACCTTCACTGCGATGTCACTGGAATGATGCTTTGTGGTGGTAACTATCCCCAGGAGGCCTTATTTTAGGTTCGTGAATAATCAAATCATATGCATAATATATATTAATATAGATTATCGAGGTATAAAGATGTATAAAGCATATCATATAACAATACACTATGATATATATATATATATTATATACATTGCATTGCGTTTCATTAATTACGTTAGATACGCATCAGATATCTATGTCAAGGCCATCCAGTTTTGTGCCAAGGACAACAAGGTCACCATCGATGGAGGGACCAACCTGGCCTTCAGTGAAGACACGGCACAGATCTTCGCAGCCAAGGTTCGACCAACGAAATCCAGCTGTGGGAATTCAACCAAGAAAATATGGATTTTTTTAATTTTTAAATGAGTTTAATCACTGAAAATTGGGGGTAGATGATGGTCTGGGTTGGTGGTTTGGAATCCTTGAATTCCCGTACCAAGGTGATTATATACATCTATATATATACACATATATATATATATATATTAATATTTATATATATATGTATGTGGAAAGCCAAAAACACAAAATTTGCTGGTCATCATGGGGAAAAGCCGTAATGATCAATTTTTATTGGTAAAAATTGTTTTTACCCGTAATGACCAAAAAAATGGTCAAATCAAAAGAACATTGCAATCCTACCCGTAGCAAAACCGTATTTGTTCAACATTTTGTTGAAAAAAAAAAGTAAAAGACCGTAGCAGCTCTCACACAAACCTACCCGTAGCAAAACCGTATTTTTTCGACATTTTGTTGAAAAAAGGCCTTAAAAAGCCGTAGCAACTCTCACGCAAGTGGCTCCAGACGATCAAAGCCGTAATGACCAAAAAAAATGATCAAGGCCGTTTGACCAAAAAAAATGAGATTATGGTTTTCCAGGTACATAATATGGATGATTTCTATGGGGAAGCCCTATACTTCCAAACCACCGGGCCAAGATTTCCGTGAGGGATGACCAGAAATCCGCCTTTTTTGGCGCCCGGCGGAGCAGCCTTGCAGGGCTGGAATGTGCTGCACATTCCCAATGGGGATGTACATGATGCCGCTGTGTATGAGAAGGCAGTGGCAGAGGCTGGAAAATTTGGGCACAAAAAAACTCGCTGGTTTACACACAAAGAAATGGGAAGCAATCACCAAAATAAGCTAACCAAGAAAAGCATCAAAATCACCAACAAACTGAGGAATCAGCGATCAGAAAAATGAAGAATTTGCTTACTTGTTGGGATGTCAAGAAGGGGGGTAGTTTTCAAGGCAGGGCCATTCAGGAGATTCCAAGATGAGGAACTGACAACCAATGATGGAGTCCCTCACCCCTCATCTTAGAAGAGGAGACATGATGTGTTTTTCAGCAGCGGTTTTTGGAGGCCAAGTCTCAGACAGAGAAACCTTCCATCATCATCATGCGCACCACAATTGGCTGCGGCAGTGGCAGTGGAATCGAAGGTGCTAGTAGTTGGCAGCGGGCAAATGGTGGGCCTTTGGTAGCAAACATGGCAATTTTGAGATGATTTTCCTATGAAAAAGGCGCCATTGTTAGGGGATTTCCATGGATTTCCCATATTTCTCATTGCCATGTTTGAACAGCGGAAGGTATCCCTTAGACCTGGCTGGTTCCCCGTTTCATTAGATGGAGACCTTGGAAGTTGAGCCAGGCAAAGCCAAAGCTCATGGAGGAAAATTCTCCAACATTGAGGTGAGGTCCCCAGTGTATGCCCAGTGGGCACCCAGTGGGCACTTGGATGGTGGGAAGCATGGCACTTAGTGTTTCGATGGCACTTCTCGGCTCATGTTTTTTGATGTTATGCTTCAGCTTTGTTCTGTGGCATGGCGGCATGGTGGGGTGAGCTAGCTGTTTTTTTCCCGCCTGGGCTTTGAGGAGATTCGTGCAAACTACTTTTCACCAGAAGGTCTTAGGAAGAGCAACTGGGCTGCAGCAGTAAGGGCTTGAAACATCTTGGAACGACCAGCAATGTGCCTTTTCGTTCAGACTGGGAGTGGACAAAACTATCCTCATAACTTTGGCAGCATGCACTCCGGTGGAACGACGTGGTAAAGAAAGGTTGGGAGTCATCAACCGGTCCAAAAATAGACAACATCTAAACAAGCCCCTCAGAGACAGCGGCCATTTTGGTCACGAAACCATACAAGACCCAGGGCTCGACCCAAGCTTGACCTGGTCTCCAGCTATGTTTTTTTCTATCTGCTACGGGCCCATACGCCCAAGGCAAGAATCCGGTGGACCATCGTCTCGCCGAAGTGATCGAAGCAGAGCTGGGCTCCCTGAATGGCTCGGGCAACGGGAAGATCTTGCCCAAGTTCTACGTCCCCAAAGCCGTAGCTTGGCTCCAAGTGGCTCAGTTGACCCGGTGAATGGCGGATTCTTACTCTTAAAGTGTGGATGGGACGCATGTTTTGCACAGACATGGAAGCGAACAATGGCCATAACCAATGAGAATAGTAATCCTCCAACGCCTTTTGATATGCAGTCCTCCTTCATTACTCCATGTTACTCCTGATCATCCTCAAAATATATCCGAACTCTCCATGGGCTCAAGGTGCTGAAGAAGTTTCGCTTGCGCGGCGATCATGGCGACGAACTCGCCTGCGACTCTCGGCTGCGGGGAAGCCAACTTGTAACAAAATGTGTGCCCAACCAGCTGCACCATGCTGCACCCAAAAGCCGGCCAATGGAAACATGTCATCAAACCATACGAAACATGCTTTCTGGACTCATTTCTGTTCCCAGTGCAGCAGTTGCTTTATAGTGCTTTGTCTCGTGTTCATTTCACCAAGGAATGGAACCGGATGGTGGGAAAATATTGCAGAACTTTTAGGGAAAGCGACCCTGCATTGGTCCAAGACTTGGAGGACTGGAGAGGGGCGAGTTTTTGGGTATTCCCTGGCAATGCTTGACTCCAAGACTGGATTAGGTGACTTGGAAAGGATTGAAAGGTATAGGATACATATAGGATATTATAGGATGGTATTTGTTGGGACAGCTGCCAGCAGTGCTGGATGGCCCCTCAGCCAGCAGTGAAAAAAGGCCCCTCGATCCATTCATAGAAATTCCTGTTGTGTTTTGTGCACCTCCACGGCACCTTGTCGCTCCACTTGTCGCCAGGACCGGATGCGAGGGAAATATCTGATGGATGACTGGAGGGCATCCCTGGACGAATATTTGAAGAAGGACCAGCGACCTGCTCAGCAAAAGGCTGAAATGTCAGGTTTTGGGGTTTTAAATGTCAGAAACATGTTTCTAAGCCTAGGGATGCCCAAAAAAAAATAATGCAGATTTGAATAGATTTGATTCGACACAAGATGCCTTTTTTACCTGCTGTTGTTTTTTCTCCGCTGCCCGTTGAGTCAGCAGTCAGCATTGTTGCCCGGGTTTTAGGTCCCCACTGCTCCAGGAGTTGTTGTACGAGTATACTGAGTACACATCAACAAGATCAGTACAGTAATCCCAGCTTCCGATTTTAGTACTGTAAACATAGTGGTATCATAGTGGTATCCACCCATATAAACCCATATAAACCGCATGGTTCATGGTCCGAGTCATGGTGGTATCCACCGGGATGGTGTATTTCGGAACAGGAGACGAAGGTGCTCGATGCGAAACTCGGAACCTTGCTGAACATGGCAACATGGCTGAGAGGATCTGAGAGAATCTGAGGTGGCCATGGGGGATCTCATCCAGAGATATTCAGATTGGATGAACTGATGAATTCAATGAACATATGATAGTATGTTGATATATATATATATTATATTATCATTATTATTATTATATATATATATTAGTTTTATTATTATATATATATACATATGTTGATCATATATGATCATATGTATTTAAAGACCCAAAAAAGATTGCAATGTCAAATCCTACTAAAACAGTAGGTAAATCATGCTTCTTTTTTTGGGGGGGCTGAAATGGTTGATAGTGGTTTCTGAAAGAATGATGTGATAATGTCATAGTCATTTTCCGGGAAAAGGTTGGTTACTTGGATGGTGTGAAATGGTGGCGTTCATACTTCTGGGGTTCCCAGCCGGTGTCATGCAGGTAGCTTGTTGATGACACCGGCAGGGGTTGAAGATTGCCAGCACTATTTATACCCGCTTGATCATAACTCTGGTTTAAGATTTGAATCTATTTGTTTTGGGTCCCATTGATGTTGTGTATTTGCACTCTTGCTTTAGATTTCCGTTTAGGGGGATTACCCTCTGGATCCCTCTGGTAATTTAGCATAGTTATTGAAAATTACCAATTTTACAGTTGATTTATGTTGATTTTGCTATTACAATGGTCATTTTCCATAGCTATGTTAGTTCACCTGAGTCTGTAAGCTTGATGAAATTCATGACTTCCACATTGGGCCGAGCGGCTCGGCGTTAAGGTTGAGCCCAAGCAGGAAGAGCCACGGCCGCCCTTCAAGCGTCTCACGGTGAGAGATTTCACCAAGCATTGGGGAGATTTTTTCGGCCAGCATGGTTAGCAGCACCATAAAAACCACAGTGGTTACATGACAAATTCATGAATAAATGTCAATAAATGAGGGCTTTCCCAAAGGGCATATTGATCATATTGACATGATTGGCAAGCACCGACAAGAAGCATCAGGAATTGAGGATATTATCCAGGAAAATGCTTCTTGAGTTTGTCAGATGCAGATCCAGGCGGTGAAGTTCGGTTGGTTGGTTTGTCCTCTGGCGATTCTGCTGATCCCCCCAGGTCACGACGGTCACGATGATCAGATAATTGGACGAAGTTTGTGAGAAAACTGCGGATGGCTTTTGGGAATTTTGGGGTGGGGCCTTTTCAAATGTTCAACAGTTCAACAGTTCAACCCATCCATGAGCAACGGCTTTGCTTCCCCGAAGCAAAGGTCTAAAATCTGATGGCGCCATCGGCTTCAAGAACAAAGCTGGTCGAATCTATGCCAGCGAAGTCCTGAAGTGTCTGGTGGGAATCTGAGCTGCCGATAGCTGCCACCATGAATTGGATGTGGCTCAAAAGAACAGCTATGTTGATCAACACCCCAGCAATGTTCTATTCCAGTGAACCGTCAAGTTTAGGGAGTCAAACACTACTTGAGCCATACCCAATTTGTGCCACAGAAAAGCCGATAAGCCCACATTGACAGCAGATGAGAGACGAAGAGAGTCAGAGTCATATTCTTTGGCACGTGGCATTGCGGCATTGCGTTACATTTTTTGTCGCTTCCAGAATCACGGTCCTTTATTTGCAGTTCATGGTACTTCGATTCTGAGCATGTCCCAAATTGGGAATCCCACCAATCCATCTTGCGTCTGGCTGTGACGAAGCCAGGGACCGAAAAAATGTTGATCCAAGCAGACCGCAGACCTATCTTAGTCCTAGCCTAATTGGAAATAATGAGACCCCAACTCTGCAGCATTATGCATTGGCCTTTCAATGACTGTGGCTTTTCTCTATCATGCTCCATGAACGTGGGTCACTGATGTTGATGAGGGATTTCACGTAATCCGGGCTGGGTTTCAATCAGCACCCCTACATAGAGCTAGTACATGAAAGATGTTTAATAATTACACTAGATGGTCACAGAGAGAGAGAGAGATGATAGATAGAGAAAGAGAGACTCGTCATCAGTGTAATCATCAATAAATACTATAATTATAATTAGTTATACATATTATAACTATGTTTGATAATTAATTCTCACACACATACATACTTATATATATATATAATCATTATTATTATTATATGCACAGAAGACTTGTTCCCCATGAAGAAAGGCTTCGGCTTCTGGGTCCCTCAGGTGCAACATAATCCTGCCATCATTGGTGGTGCTGCAGATGCGGCTTGGCAGCTTTGAAAAACCTCAGTTTGAGACAAAATTTGCCCAGAAACAACTCAGCTCAGGTGGCATCTTCGTGCGGAAGTCATTTCCCAGATCTTCAAGGACACTTCCTTCCACCCTCTCGTGGGCAAGGACTTCATGATGCCAGTCACTTGCACAATGAGTCCAGAGGACCCGTGCTTAAAGTAGGCCAAGTAGGCCTTGTAGTCCGCCGTTTTGATTCATACTTAAATCACAAGTGGAAATTGATTAGAGATGATTATATATATATACTAGGTACGGATGAGATAGGAGTTGTCGGAGGGTCCAGTTTTTTTGATTTCCCATCTCATGAGTAAAGTATTGTTTTTGCCCTTTGAAGGTGCCAAACTCCTATCTCATATGGTTCTATTAGTCATTTGAAGGATACCTGCATCAAGTTTTTACATTCCCACAGTTTATGGTTTTTAATGCTATAGGCTACAGTTTGGACACATGAGATAGGAGTTAGGGCTGATTTGGGGTATGTTCACATAACCCATGTGTTGGGACCCTAGCATCTATATCCCATGAAGAATTCCTATTCCCATCTCATGGGTTTCATCCTGGGCCATTTAGCAATATGGTAAATTGCAGCTGGATGTAACTTTTTCCATTTTCTCATTGTTTCTCTACTGTTGTTACCTTTAACGGGAAGCGACAGGGCTCGCGGAGAACGGACGGCCATGTGTCTCCTCTGTTGTTACCTGCAACGGGAAGCGACAAGGCTCGCGGAGAACGGACGGCCATGTGTCTCCCCTGTTGTTGCCTGTAACAGGAAGCGACAAGGCTCGCGGAGAACGGACGGCCATGTGTCTCCCCTGTTGTTGCCTGTAACGGGAAGCGACAAGGCTTGCGGAGAAGGGACGGCCATGTGTCTCCCCTGTTGTTACCTGTAGCAGGAAGCGACAAGGCTCGCGGAGAACGGACGGCCATGTGTCTCCCCTGTTGTTACGTGTAACGGGAAGCGACAAGGCTTGCGGAGAAGGGACGGCCATGTGTCTCCCCTGTTGTTACCTGTAGCAGGAAGCGACAAGGCTCGCGGAGAATGGACGGCCATGTGTCTCCCCTGTTGTTGCCTGCAACGGGAAGCGACAAGGCTCGCGGAGAACGGAGAGGTCCCCTCCGGTAGCTTCCCGGTGCGGCAACGGAGAAATAGCGACCACTAAAAGCAGATGAGATAGGACTTGTGGAGATTTGACGATTTGACTTGGGAAATCTAATGGCACATGGGTGCGGCAACGGAGAAATAGCGACCACTAAAAGCAGATGAGATAGGACTTGTGGAGATTTGACGGTTTGACTTGGGAAATCTAATGGTACATGGGCGCGGCAAGGGAAACATCATAGCAACCACTAAAAGCAGATTAGATAGGACTTGTGGAGATTTGTCGATTTGACTTGGGAAATCTAATGCCACATGGGTGCGGCAGCGGAAAAATAGCGATCACTAAAAGCAGATGAGATAGGAGGACTTGTGGAGATTTGACGATTTGATCTGGGAAATCTAATGGTACATGGGCGCGGCAAGGGAAACATAGCGACCACTAAAAGCAGTTGAGATAGGACTTGTGGAGATTTGACGATATGACTTGGGAAATCTAATGGCACATGGGTGCGGCAACGGAGAAATAGCGAACACTAAAAGCAGATGAGATGGGACTTGTGGAGATTTGACGATTTGACCTGGGAAATCTAATGGCACATGGGTGCGGCAAGGGAAAAATAGCGAAAAGCAGATGAGACAGCACTTGTGGAAATTTGACGATATGACTTGGGAAATCTAATAGCACATGGGTGCGGCACGGGAAAAATAGCGACCACTAAAAGCAGATGAGATGGGACTTGTGGGGATTTGACGATTATGACCTGGGAAATCTATATGCACATGGACGCGGCAAGGAAAAAATAGCGACCACTAAAAGCAGATGAGATAGGACTTGTGGAGATTTGACGGTTTGACTTTGGAAATCTAATGGGACATGGGGGCGGCAACGGAAAAATAGCGACCACTAAAACAGAAAAGATAGGACTTGTGGGGATTTGACGATTTGACCTGGGAAATCTAATGGCACATGGGCGCGGCAAGGGAAAAATAGCGACCACTAAAAGCAGATGAGATAGGACTTGGGAAATCTAATGGCGCATGGTGCGGCAATGGAAAAATAGCGACCACTAAAAGCAGATGAAATAGGACTTGTGGAGATTTGACGATTTGACTTGAGAAATCTAATGACACATGGGCGCGGCAAGGGAAAAATAGCGACCACTCACTAAAAGCAGATGAGATAGGACTTGTGGGGATTTGACGATTTGACCTGGGAAATCAAAAGTGGCACATGGGCGCGGCAAGGGAATAATAGCGACCACTAAAAGCAGATGAGATAGGACTTGTGGGTCTTCGACCCTGGGCATTTGAGCAAAGTCGCATGCCTGGATGCCCATCCCCGTGTAAAAGCAAATGAGATAAGTCTTGTGGGGATTTGGCCTGGGAAATCTAATGACACATGAGTGCGGCAAGGGAAAAACAGCGACCGCTAAAAGCAGATGAGATAGGACTTGTGGGTCTTCGACCCTGGGCATTTGACCAAAGTCGCATGCCTGAATGCCTTTCCCCGTGTAAAAGCAGATGAGATAAGACTTGTGGGGATTTGGCCTGGGAAATCTAATGGCACATGAGCGCGGCAAGGAAAAATAGCGACCACTAAAAGCAGATGAGATAGGACTTGTGGGGATTTGACGATTTGACTTGGGAAATCTAATGCCACATGGTTGCGGCAAGGAAAAGGTAGTGACTTCTAAAAGCAGATGAGATAGGACTTGTGGGGCTTTGACGATTTGACTTGAGAAATCTAATGGCACATGGGTGCGGCAAGGGAAAAATGGCGAGCACTAAAAGCAGATGAGATAGGACTTGTGGAAATTTGACGATTTGACTTGGGAAATCTAATGGGACATGGGGGCGGCAACGGAAAAATAGCGACCACTAAAACAGAAAAGATAGGACTTGTGGGGATTTGACGATTTGACCTGGGAAATCTAATGGCACATGGGCGCGGCAAGGGAAAAATAGCGACCACTAAAAGCAGATGAGATAGGACTTGTGGAGATTTGATGATTTGACTTTGGAAATCTAATGGCACATGGGTGCGGCAAGGGAGAAATAGCGACCACTAAAAGCAGATGAGATGGGACTTGTGGAGATTTGACGATTTGACTTGAGAAATCTAATGGCACATGGGTGCGGCAACGGAAAAATAGCGACCACTAAAAGCAGATGAGATAGGACTTTCTGGAGATTTGACGATTTGACCTGGGAAATCTAATGGCACATGGGCGCGGCAAGGGAAAAATAGCGACCACTAAAAGCAGATGAGATAGGACTTGTGGAAATTTGACGATTTGACCTGGGAAATCTAATGGGACATGGGGGCGGCAACGGAAAAATAGCGACCACTAAAACAGAAAAGATAGGACTTGTGGGGATTTGACGATTTGACCTGGGAAATCTAATGGCACATGGGCGCGGCAAGGGAAAAATAGCGACCACTAAAAGCAGATGAGATAGGACTTGTGGGGCTTTGACGATTTGACTTGAGAAATCTAATGGCACATGGGTGCGGCAAGGGAAAAATGGCGAGCACTAAAAGCAGATGAGATAGGACTTGTGGAAATTTGACGATTTGACTTGGGAAATCTAATGGGACATGGGGGCGGCAACGGAAAAATAGCGACCACTAAAACAGAAAAGATAGGACTTGTGGGGATTTGACGATTTGACCTGGGAAATCTAATGGCACATGGGCGCGGCAAGGGAAAAATAGCGACCACTAAAAGCAGATGAGATAGGACTTGTGGAGATTTGATGATTTGACTTTGGAAATCTAATGGCACATGGGTGCGGCAAGGGAGAAATAGCGACCACTAAAAGCAGATGAGATGGGACTTGTGGAGATTTGACGATTTGACTTGAGAAATCTAATGGCACATGGGTGCGGCAACGGAAAAATAGCGACCACTAAAAGCAGATGAGATAGGACTTTCTGGAGATTTGACGATTTGACCTGGGAAATCTAATGCCACATGGGCGCGGCAAGGGAAAAATGGCGACCACTAAAAGCAGATGAGATAGGACTTGTGGAGATTTGACCTGGGAAATCTAGCGGCACATGGGCGCGGCAAACTAGAAGCAGATGAGATGGGACTTGAGGGTTTAACCTTGGAAATCTAAGTGGCGAATGTGTGCGGCAAAGTGTTTTTCGTGTTTTTTCAACTTTTCCCCAGCCAATTCCAGGAAGGCTGTTTCTTCAACTGGGGTTGGGGGACACCATCCGCCAGATGGTCAGGCTATGCCGGGAGGTATATCCACTTTGGCGTGCGCGAGCATGCCATGCTGTCAATCTTGATCTTCGGTGGATGGTGACCCTTTTGTGGGTCAGTCGGCAAGGTCTGAGTGGCAATTCTTGGTGTTTCGATATCCACAAGACTATGTGGCATGTGGTATATAAATACAAGACAAAGAGGTCAAGCCACTATTTTGGTTTCCCCAAGTCAATCCAAATACATCCAAATCAGCATGCGCAGAATCACAAACCATCATCCAAATCATCCAGTCATCCCAAAAACCCATCAGTCCAACCCATCCTGATCCAGTCGATCCTGAGGAATGGTATCTGCTCCTACTCTTTGATGATTCCTTACGGCGCCACCTTCACTGTTTTCTTTCAGTATGGTCTTCCAGCCATTCGCATGGCCGCCATCTCGAAGTCATTTGGCACGGGGATGGCAGGACGGGGCGAAGGAGAGGTAAATGCAACAGAAAAACATACAAAAACTGAAGGAGATACACAAAAATCATCAAAAATCTGATTTTAACTGAGAACAATTGTGAAAAATTGGGGTTCAACTAGCGAGAATGGGGAGGTATCATGAAGTGTAACAAAAAGACATGCCCATGGAAGCTATGATAATTGACCCAAAGCATGCGTTAAGTGAAAATTTGGCTATTGGATACAGAACTTGAGTACGCTGTGAGTTTCTCTGAAAAATGTAGGGAAAAACATGGAAAAACAATCCATCCACTGATTACTCACCATTTTCCTCCTCAAAAAAAGTCATAAATTAGGGCTGAATCACCAACACACCTAGGCTTTTGTCCATGACCTGAGGTTCCCCATCTTCTACATCGGAACTCACGACTCGATCGATTTGGGTGAGGATGGGCCGACACATCAGCCAGTGACTTGGAGTGGTTGTAAGGCCAAGTTGACTTGGCCCAAGACCAAAGGCGACCAAACACGACTCTATTTAACATTCTTTAACATTTGTGGATCTCAAATGTGCACTTGAATTTGGTGTTTCAGTTTGTGCTTCATCACTTTCATCAGGTGTAGCCAGCCAGTGCCAGCCATAAACGTCGCCTTCCCAGCACCGCGCTTCGCCAGGTGGAGGTCCTTCCGCAGCTCCGTGCCATGCCGAATTTGTTGGTCATTCGTCCCGCAGATGTGCCACTCGTCGGAAGTGGCCGTAGGCTGATGGGGACTTTTTGGCACCAAAACCATGGGGAGATCTTGGTATGATGATGGAGATTTAAGCAAAATATAGCAAAATAGAAATTTGATTGATTGAAACATGCTCGAAGTGAGTGAAATTTCAACTCCCCCTTTTGGCTAATGATTAGTTCGGTGGTCACAGTCTACCCAATGTATTTGAGGGCATCATCCATGAGCCATCAGCCGTATAGCCATCCCAAGACTGGCCGATTCTTTCAGTTTCGGAAGTTATTGTAAATTATCCACGGTTGATACTTACACTTGGATGGGACGGAGAACAGGGGCCACTTATGACTCAACTGCTGGGAATGAGGATCTTCATCAGCTCAAGGAATCTGAGGGTACTGGTATACTGGGTGGAGGAAAAACAAGAAACCATAAGAAATTATCCCGTGGTAATAAACCCTAGCTATCCCTAGCTTTTAATATTTGGAGAAGGGACTGTCCGCTTTTGGATGCCTCACCTGAGCCCAACTCCAGCGTTTGGTTCTGGCAGGAACGAGACGGTGGGTGCATTTGAAGTCATGGCCGAGCAGTATGCAAGCTTCAGGGAATCTTGGCTGTAAAGCACAGGGACTATGACTAATGACTAGGGGCTAGCGTTGGGTCATAGTATATATATTACAGTGGCGTGGCTTAATATATATAGACTTATGTCATTTACATTAGTTACGATGTGGCGGAATAGTCTTTGAATCTACTGTATTTCACCAGATTTAACCCAAGAGTTTGGAAACTTGCTACATTAGTGCTAAAGTTTCAGGGAATGCCCAGTTGCGACCAGGTACCGGCCACACCCATAGATGTGAAGAATTCTGAACTAATATGGAGGTTTCCTGGGGAGATACCCCCAAATGGATGGTAAATGAAAAAATTCTATTACCAGAAAGATGGATGATTCAGGTTTACCAGAATTTTAGGAAACGTCCATATGTGAACGAAGTGCCATGAAGCCGAGGACATCAGCCAATATGTTGACCCCAAACCGCTGTCGCGACGGCCAATTTTTCTGATGACCTGCCGGGGCGAGCTGGGTCTCCCCTACAAGACCAATGCTGGCATCTCTGGCCGTGAAGGTGTCAAGAGAGGCCCAGCACTCTGATGGATGTCTGAGGTCTTGTTGCAACAGCCAAGAGGTCGACTTCTACTGTTGTTTTTTCATTGTTTTTTTTCCTTCCAGTCGTTTACCTTTAATACATCTCTAAACTCTTTAAACTCCCAATTGCTGTATTGATGATCAAATCCTTGTCGCGACGTTGATGTATGCCAGCCTGAGCTTCCTATGATTTGATACCTCGGATTGTTTCCCCATTGTGTTAAAAATTGCCAACCGCCACTGATCTGCAGCTGTTAAAAATGGCCAGCATACGCCAGCCACATGTTTCACTGTTCCACTGATACCAGGTGCATATGTGGTGCATGACTGCTTCGACATTACCAGTGGATCCACTCATGCCAGTCAGTTGCCAACTGGCTCGAAAGTGCCGGATTCTTGGCGCCAACGATAAAATAGATGGTTGGTTCATGTTAATGTTAATGTTAATTAAAGGAGCCACCTTTTTCAGGTGGTTTTTATATATATATATATATACGGTAACGCCATTTAAATATGTGGAGGGCGGGCCAGACCGCGAGGCCTCGGAGGTAGTATGAAATACCAGTTCGTATATTTAAATGTAGTTACCGTATATATATATAACTATATACATGGATACATACTAAGATTGTTTTTTTCCGTATACTTACTAATTGACCGGTGGATCCCAAGCTCTATTCGGTGCATTTCTTCCTCCTGCAGATCCCCAGGATATCATTCTCATTGGCAGCGGGCAAGATGTAGGACTCTGCATGCAGACCAAAGAGCTGCTTCTCAAATGGTCCAGCGCTTTCTATGAGCAGCTGCACATCAGTTCCTCGGCTCACAGATGGGCCACCAAACATAGATTTGGGAATGAATTCATAGATTCAGGATGTTTATCACCAATCAATTGGAAAAAATAGCAAGTATACAGCTGGAACATTGGATCAAAATGAAGATGAGAGATTCTTCACAGATCGATTGATAGATTTCCCGGAAGTGGGCCAAAATTGGCTGGTTTACCGCTGCTTTGGTTTTGACCCATACCCATTAATGGCACCAATGCCAAATCTTTGGACATTTTAGGAATTTTAGGATGCCCAATTGGGGTTGGCAAACCTTATGTATCCTGGTGGTTTGCGGTAGGTCATCTGCTATAGGGGATTGTACTACGGGTTTGTTGGGGATTCCTTTCATCCACAATGGGAATCCCTATAGATGAACCAAGCAGTTGAAAGGGATGACGGAGGGTTAACAGCGCTTGGCTTTGCTTGAGGCTTTGACGGGCCTATTCCCTTGCCGATTTCCGCAACTGAGCTGACAATTGATCATGTCGATTTCAGAGAATCGTTTAAAGCAAAGATGACTTAAAGTTGTTTTCTGTTGCATCTCTCTTTGTTTTTTGTGGGGTTGATTATCATGATTCACCCAAAATAAGAGCGAAGGGTGGGAAAAATGCTAAGACTGGCCAGGAGCAAAGTTAGGCGCATCCCAAAGGTTTTGACTGCCTTGATTTGACGCATGAATCCATATTCTACCGCCCCACTTATTCAAAGATGCATGATGATATGTGTGTATATGTACCTATTTTAATATATATATATATATTTATATTATACTGTGCCTGTGCAATGTATAATTATATCTCCTATATATATATGTATATATGTATATCTTATATTTAAAATATTCCAATGCTCTAATTCTAGTGTTCTTCGTTTTCACTGCCCGGTCAGGTGCCGTTGTGTTTCTACTTGAGGTCAATCAGCCTTGCCTCAAGATTCGCATTGTTTCCATGCCATGCTGGGAGCTATTTGATGAACAAGATCAGGAATACCAGGAGCTTCGGATGGCATCCTGGCAACTTTCATGGAGATTAAATGCCTTGAGTATTGGATCTATTGATTTTGGGGATATATGAAAAATTTCATGTTGGCTGTTGGCCTTTGTCCTCATTCCAGGAAGGGTCTACTGACCCGAGTAAACATGTTTGTATATTGAACCCCGAACCCCATATGAATTGTTCAGGGGATGGGAGGATCCCACTAAAAATGTGCTTCATGGGATTTGTACAGCCCATCACGGCCCTGCTTGGCGCGCCTTGTGTCTTGCCAGGCACAAGAGTGACATAGTCACTAATGTCACTGTATGGATGCCCTCCTGTAATCGAACGTGGCAATGGGAATCCCGGAAGCAAATGGAAGTTTATAGCTGGAAAATCAACTATAAATGATGGATTATATGGATTTTCCCGCCAGCCATGTTTGATTACTGGAGGGTATCAGATGATATTAGTCAGAAGATGGGTAGTTTTCATGCGACCAATGGTGCCATATTTCTCCCAACATTGGATGATGGGAAATCGCATTTTTTCACAACCAATCTAACGAAAACGTAAATATGTTTGATTTCCCCGCAACTACCACTACAATGTACTACAATCACTAATGATTTATCACTCTATGACCATGTAATATCATATGATGTATAATGATGTGATATAAGTTCCATATAAAAGTCATACGTTTACATCGTTTACCACCTAATATAATTACCATATAGGACCATGTATTTACCACTTTTTTTGCAGGAGTCGGTGTTGCTGTCAAACTACACGGACGTGCTTTCCATCTACGTGGAGAAGGCTGCGACCAAGAACACTGGCCATGACAAATATGCTCAGTACAGCGTTTCTCATAGGTGAGTTATACGGTTACGCTCTGGTTATTTAACATAGCGATGGAAAATGGCCCATTTATAGATAGTTTACCTATTTAAAATGGGTATTTTCCATGGCTATGTTAAATAACCAGATGATTTACGTTTTCTTTGTTGGCAAAAATTGTTTCTATTAATTTTACGTGTATATATATATATGAACACACATGTAAACATGTGTGTTTTAATGCTAACGCCACAATGATCATAGTGACAATAGCAATAATATCGCACACATACACATACATACATACTCTATATATATATGTATAACATATATATAAATATATATATATATACACGGTAACGACATTTAAATATGTGGAGGGTGGGCCAGACCGCGAGGCCCCGGAGGGAGTATGAAATACAAATTCGTATATTGAAATGTAGATACCGTACGTTTACTGTAAATGAATTGGATTGTTTAAATGGCCGGGCGGGCCACGGAAAACCTTGACGAAGGTAGTCTAAATCTCTGTTCGTATATTTAAAAGTCCGTATATTATTTAAATGTAGTTACCGTATATATTTATCAATTTATATATATATACACATTGTGTGTATGATGTAGGATATTGGAAGCCCAAAATCAGCAAATCCAAGGTCCTGATGCCTTCTTTTGGCCTGTCTGGAAAGAGTGCTGACGTCGAGCGCAAGCTCGAATTTACTGCAGCCGCTTCGCAAGGTTTTTTATTTGGTTCGGTTGAACGATGTTGAACGATGGCAACTAAAAAATATTGGAACATAGTAACCCACCAGAAAAATTGAAAAGTATCTTAAGTAATCTTAAGTCACTATTTAAGTAGGAAGTGTTTTTCTATTTTGCTGAGGGGTTGCTATATTACACTTACAGTAGCTGGCTCAACCTTTGTTTCGTTGTTAAAAGCTGTTTTTCTTTCTGGGGACATACATGGTGAAATACACTCACCAGCCAAGTTTGTTCAGTGTTTCGCAGAGTATCTAAAATGAGTTAGACATGCTCAAAGCATTTCAAAGCTTGCATGGGTATAAAACTAGCACCAAGTCGGTGTCACTACCTAGTTTTGCGGATATAGGATTATATAGGACAGAAAGTAAACAGTCCAAACGACAGTTTTGGATTCTTGTGGTTGTTACTAATTGCTCACATCCCAGTGTCATTCCCGCATGGCAAATTGGGAATCTTTTTTTTCTTTAAATCTAGTGACAGAAATGCTACTTGGCACTCTTCATGCGGGGGAGATAATAAGCTGGAACAAGCCTAAACCTCCCACTGGGCCACTGGGATGAAATCCCAAAATTATTGGGTCAACATGATTAACCGAGCTGGAAGAGGTTCAAAGCCATTTCCTAATTTCCATTTCTCACCGGTTTTGAAGTTTAGCCTTCCGTCACATCGCTAACGTTAGCCAACAATATGTATATATATATATTTATAATTTTAGAATATTATAGATAATTATATTTATACATATATGATACGTATATAAAGTATATATCCTAGGTTTTTTCCCCAGGAAATCCCAGGACCAATGGTTGGATTCGATTGTTCTTCATCGTTTCGAGGATTTTGTGGCCTCAAAAGTTTGGGCTGCCTGGCTGGAGCGAGGGAGACATGTGCCTCAAGCCGCAGACACTGGTGATCGCGGCTTCAGCACCTGGGTCTCCCGCATGCACCGGCGTGCTGGAGGCAATTGACGGTAGCCGATTCCGATTCAGAGAACTTTGGGGCTGGTGGCATCTGAAAGCTGGGTGCTACAAGTTCTGGGCCTGGTGGGGAGTGGCACTAAAATTCTGATGCGTTGCCATTCCTTAAGGACTTTCCGAAGGTGTTTTTGAGATTGTTTTGATGACCAAACTCCGTGACTTAGACGTATCACTTTCCACCAGCTGGAGACACAAATCAGATTCGCGCTAATTATGCTTCTGACACATTAGGACGACATTGCCAACGGACGTTAGACATACTTGCGAAGGACATTTTTTGCGTTTTTTCCAACTCTTGTGCAATTGTGATATGATCATTGGAAAAAAACATATTGATTGCGATTGCAATTATAACGATTTTATGATTTCATCTAATTTAAGAATATTCGAGAAATGATGAGAAATGTGGATATGTTGTGCAAATGATTTCAATTTGGGCTAGTATATTAACATAAAGCCCCCTAGCCCTTATATATATATACATATAATTACGATATTTAAAAAATATATATATAAATATATAAAACTATAAAAATATCAAATATAGTATTTATTTTATATAATATATATTTAATATGTATATATAT